TATATTCAATAAGAATAGTTGCGCCTGTAGCCTTTCCCTCATCTGTTCGAAGCCAAAGCAGCTCCGAATTTTTCTCAAACCTGCGCGAAACGCTAGTTTGTGTCATTGCTGCTACTATGCAGCTGAAAATCACCGCAAAGCAGACCAAGTCCCCATTTCATCGTATATATATATATATCCACATGATAAGAAATGATATCCGCAAAGGCCGCCATAGCCGTTATAAGAGTTGCTTTTGTCGTCATTGTTGTTGTTTTCAAGAGAGACTTGTTTCCATATAATTGATCTAATTGTTGTTGCCACAGTCTCTTTTGTTGTTGAGTCAAATGTTCACCGATTTCGTGACTGTGACGGTATCGGACGGACTAAGTTGGTGGCAAACATTCACATCGTCCGATTGTCTAATAGAATAGACGGCTGATAGGCATTCGGATGAAAGGCTTTCGTAGCCTTGGCTTGGCCTAAAGTCGTTTCAGAGCTCGCTTCTTCTCTTTGATGATCTTCATTTGCTTTTTACTAACATCACCCTGCTGAGCTGCTAGGGGCAATTTCGCTTTCGAGCTCGTTGGCTGAGAGCCGTCGCAACTATGACTTGTTGTGTCTGAAAAAGTAGCCGGTTTGCATAAAAGTCGTTTATGATGCAGGTTAGATAACTAGTGGGTTTCCCAGGTATAGCTATACATATTTTTTTTTTTATTACTGTTGCCTGGGGTCATCTCGTCAATATAATAAAATACGTAATAAAAGCAAATGTCTGCTATTGTATAACAATTTTAAGTGACGTTTTTTTTAAGAATATAGGTTAGCTTTGAACAGATGGCGTTAAGCCAAATGACTCGGGGTAGAAAAATGCGACTCTCCATGAGGAATGTCTAGAACCCAGGGTCTGTACCATGATTCACTGTTCATGTCATGTCATGTCTTATCCATGTATGTATTAGATAACGCTTCAATTAGCCTGACCTTTACATCTTTTTTATACGTTTGACAAGGTTAGAGGGCTTCAACCAAGATGACAAGTTTTTGACAGGACTGAGAGTAAACAATTCAGACCCACATATTATTGAACTGCAATCCTTTATGTGCGAGTGCATGCATTCAAATACTTGACGATTGTTGCTAATTCGACTTACTGAAAAAAATTATTTTCACAAACCTGAACAGTGATCATCCCGTTGTGACTGGACGGGTTGAGCATGTATTTGGGTCATCATTTTTGCTCTCTGTTCATATTCAGAATAGTGGTCGAGCAAAAGTCGGCCTGCTTCCTCGTTTAGCGCTGACTCGGGGTTGGGAACGATCAGAAGACATTTGATCGTTAGGAAAATACGAAGAAGTCCCGTATCTGGCGTCCAATCCTACACGTATAAATGGACGGCGTAAATGTACGTGTGTATACACGTACACATATAAATGGTAATAAAAACGGAAATGATTACCATTACTCTGTATTCATCTATACGATGAATCGTTTGGTTATTGGCTTTAATTTTAATTTGTGTGTGCTCCAAGGGACACGCATGAATATATTGATACATATGAATATTCCAGTGTTTTCTTGTTTTGCCAATATATATATACATGTAAATCAGTGAAAATATTAATTCATTATAAAAAGTATATAGTAGATCATAACGGAAATACGACATTTCATTTAACGATAGTAAGGTCAAAAACAATAGACGTTTCTTGTTAGCTCTATGTATTATTTGAATGATGCAGCGAATTCAAGTATACATAGTCAGTATCCTAAAAACGTAACGACTTCCCGAGTTTTCTTCAAATAATGCGATTATCTCATAGCAGCAGAGCATGAAATATATAAAGCGTCAAGAAAGCTAACTTAAATCAAATTCTACCTTCTTGAGCGTGTTTACACAAATCTGTCCTGAATCGGGTGCGACATTTGGGTGGAATATCCGCGTGAGGAAGTAACCCCGAGGAGGTGATGCTGGATGGTTTTTAGCTAAAACAAGGCGAAGTTTGAATTGCTGCGAAAAACACCAACACAAATACAAAATAGTGGAAATTAATATAGTGCATATTACCAATAACAGCTTATTCTGTTATATTTCATTTAAAATAAAAGATATCTCGGTAATAGGATTCGCACTACTTTCTGTCCATTAAAGTGATCTCCCTAAAAAATAAACTTTTCCAGCCTTGTGCCATAACGCAGCATTTTGAGATAAAATGGCCCTTCGTAAGTAACTAGGTCTACTGAACTGGAGTCCTTAATTACCTATACGTTCCACTAGATTTGCTTGGTAAGATTCCCGTATAGACTTTAACAACAGCTAGAACTTCAGTATAGAAAAAATTTTGCTTAGTTTATTTTGATATTTTCACAAAACGTCAATGTACTTACCCCACCAGCGAACGGTGTGCCCTGTGGTCCGTCAAGTGTAGCCTGAATGTCCGTTACGTCAGCGTCATTCAGGTGAACTTTAAGGCCCTCAGGGGGACTTTTTGTTAATTCCATCATCTCCTTACGCACGGCGCGGATGACGTGGGGAGCTAAATTTTCTACATTTGATGTCTGAAATATGCAATCGTACGACAAACACAAACCTATTATCAATACGTATTATCTTTAGTGGCGCTTTTGCAAGAAGTAAACATTTGAGTGATTCAAACTTAACGTAGCCCTAATAAGCTTTTCCGACATAATTTGAACGACCTCAAGAAATCTCAGCCCACATGCCCATTGTCGAAACTTCATTCGAACATCGAAATATTAATCAACCATTACTGATATACTATCAATTGTTACTTGATGTGCGAACAGTGTATTGTGCAGACTCTAAAGCGAGTTTGCTTTGCGCCATTCGCAAATATACTGCTTTTATGCACCTTCTTGCATCAGCACCAGAATTCGATTGAGCGATAGCGATTTCTTACACAAAATTTTGGACCACTAGCTCAAACCATTCGTTAGATTTGTGACAGAAATTACAATGATTTATAATATTTAGATTAAGCAATTATTCAGCGAACTCGAACTTCAATGAAATCAAGTAGTCTCAACTCAGTAGAGCTGTAGCCTTCTTGCCAAGAATGGCATTTCTAGAAGCCAGTTAACCGATGGTATAAATCAATCGCTACGATGCCAATGTTAATAGATTCAACAGAATATACGTGATCCTCCGCGTCGAGTACTACCAGTGAGATAGTTTACAATAGTCGAAGGCGAAATAAACACAGTTCGTTAGATGAACGCTTCTCTTATAAGCAGGCGTATTCCCTAATTAAGTAGCCGGTTAAGTTTCTCCTGGTTTTTACATAGTCAACCCGATCGATCTCAGCTTTGTCGGATCAGTGGCATCTCATCTTTTGTTCAAGCTCAGATATACGCATAGTACCTGTTAAAACCCTAATGATAAACCCACTTAATTACCCCTAGGAATCAAATCTCGTTGCATCAAATACCAACTCTATATCAGTTTTGGCATCAGGCACCCACAAAAGCCCATTCGGCCTCTGCCAGCTAGCTATCAGTCCTGAGCCCGCCAACAAATTCTTCTCGACCAATGGCTACCCCTGCTGATGCAGTCGGCAAATTTCACGAATCTCTATGCAACGCACGACACCAACCGTGTTAAGAAACTAGCCCTGTGTTATGTTGAAAAAGTTAACCCGACCGAAAAACAATCGTATTTACTGTTTACTGAGGTTTTTTTTTATTTTGCATTTCACTCTTTGTCAAGAAGGCAAACGACGGTGGCACCTCTCCACATCATACACGCGATTCGCCTCGCCACCGTGCAATACACGGCGATTTACTCTTAACAACAGCGGGATACCAACGGTATAATCAATCTACTGATTGTTAGTAACGAACCGGCAGATAAACTTGAAAGGATCCCGTATTTTCGAGACCATCCAATAACCAAAAATATCATCTGACTGATATTCGCCAGTGTGGCTGATGATTATGTTAGCGTGTAGCTACACGACCCTTCGTTGATGTGAATTTTCGTCTAAGCCCTCTTTATAAAAATTAGTAGAGTTTTTACTATAATAAACTGATTTTACTAATATTATTATTATAATCTATCGGCGGCATATATCAGTTGACGACTGCTTACGACAATCGGATCACTGTCGCATCAACAGACAGGGTCGTTCCCGCTGCTCCACTTGTATCTGTGTGTCTGCGTATCTCTTTCTAGGTCGTGTTAGCAACTGCAGATCAACGGCGCACTGCCTTCTAATGAAGAAGAATTTTTCTCATTTTTATGTTGTTTACCACGTTTCATCATCTATCTATCTCGGGGATCTGGTTAAAAGCTTGCAAAGGAACGAACCAGAAACGACGAACTAAGATCGACCTACCTGCGCCATTGTCGTTGAGGCTTTCGCCGACAGAGAGGCTTGTGTTTTTGGTAAGATTCCTGGGGGCCTCTAGCTGACGGGTAGGGGAAAGGGGGCCCAAACAAAGACCAAGACACAGTCTTACATTAGCCGACACTGCTATATTCAGCGTAGGCCAACGGCCTCAAGCATCCAGCGGCAGCATTAGCAGTATCAGCAGGAATATCAGTAGTAGCGGGAGAGGTTCGCCATTTCGACACAAACACTCTGAATACAGGAACGGCACAGGCAACAGGCAACTGCAGCCAACGGCAAACTGCAATAGCAGACATCACTCAAACTGTACGAACAGGCCCCGGGCATTCGGTGGCGCCAAGGTTCGAACTTAATGATTGAGTAGATTTTTTTCAAAGGTTCGAAGAAGACTTCGACCGAAGTAGCTCGCTTAGAGGTAGCCCAGGCATGTGATGATATTTGAATGTAACTAGAAGATAAAAGAAGATTAGACGTTTGGAAAAAAACGGCAGAGAAAGAGGCGTTGTTTATGCTGGATGCCATTGTATAGATGAAGCGGTAAACGTGATGATCATACGATGTTGAAGATGGACAGGTACAAAATCGTACACAATGTCGTTCGTCGACCTAGGATGTTGTCGGATATTACACGTTGACGGCACGATTAAATCACCTGTCTCAAGCGTCTAAGAAACGGTACTTTCCAGAAGAATTGCGATTTACCGAGATGTATGAGTAACAAGAAAAATCACTATACTACAGCTAAGCGAAAGCGTAGAATACAAAACAATGCACTGAATGATTGCAAAGTACTTCCACTACTGAGTGATGCCCAGGTTTCTTATGCTAATTATATAAGTCAATAGCTATTTGAAAATATATGATAGCTGTTTGAAATATATAATTGAGTCTGTTTCATCTACGTTGTATGCCAATAAAGCCAAAATTTCCGGCCAAGGACCGTTAACTTTTCCACTCTTTTGCATACATACGTCAGTCAAAACGGCGGTCAGTTCATGCCTATAACTCTAAAAGGTTTGAATTTTCTTCACGACAATTAATTTTTGTTCTTAGACGCGTATATTACACTGCAAGAGCTTAGTATTAAGGTTTATCACTGTATTAAATCGCGTAAGTAGCTGCATTTTACAAAATTAAATACCACACCGAAGGCCTGCTGCAAGCAGCTACATGCGGGTCCTTTCGAAAAAATGCCGTCAGAAAGTGCAATGTAATTATAAGTATAGGTAAACGAACACGTTTTCTTATGTACATAATGAAATTTATTAGCTCTTCGGTTCGACTCAGAAAAGTGTTGCTAGTGGCGACAGAAATGCTGGCCCATAGACGTACACTTGCCCTACCGCATGGGAGAGTAACAAGCTCCTACTTCAAAAGGCGGCCATTTTTCTTGAGCCGACCGCACTGCAAATTTCTACGCGAATGTTATTTAACTTGAAATGGGTCCTTTGGAGAGCCTTTTTCTCTAGATTTGCAAATGGTTTTTGCCCGATGTTTTTTTATCGGTTGTCTGCAGTGTGGAGCAAACGGCTTTAAGGAATCAGTAAATAGTAGCTTCAGTGGTTAGCATAGAAATCGCATGTTCTTTTATTTAGAGCCAAACCGTTCGGAGGCTGACTAGAGCACTGCTGTATGTTAGCATGTTTCGCTGGATCTTATTTCTCTTTTCAGATTAAGCTTGTAGTGCGTTTCCTTATTACACTTTCATTTGACAAACAGAAAAATAAAGTTAAAGCAATAGCTTAAAATTCAATACACTACACTTAAGAAATTAATCCGAACACAAGTGGACCAGTAGTAGCGCTCAGTTTGTTCGCTCATAATCATTTTACGCTCGTTTTAAAACACGTTTAAAATACCCCAATGGTAATCGAAGTGCAGCTAACTTATTTATAGCATTCCCAGCAACACGTCCACATTTCTCGGTGATCTACACTACCCCATTGATAGCTCAGTGGGTAACGTTTTTGCCTTATCTTAGGGACAGGTTGTAGTCTAGGTTGCGAAGCTAGGTTGAACCCGGGCACAGACGGACTTCAGTACTAGACATAAAACTCTAAACATAGAGGAATCTGAACTACTTGACTGTAATTACAAACCAGAGCTTCTTAGTAACTAGCGTTCCAACCTACAAAGAAGGTAAGTTATGCTTTTTTTTTCTTAATAAAGAACAGTTTTCGCTTTGCATACCCCTCATTTACTGCATACGTATTTGAACTCTAAAAGCTATCATTATACCAGCAAATATATTGCTTCTTGCTTCTTCGTTTTGCTTAAGACCATAGGTGTAAACATGTTGGTCGGCATTGTTTCTCAATTTAGTTTGAAGTAAACCACGACCTGACTCTTCGTCTGAATTTGATCTAAAGCTTGTTGAAATTGCCTTCATGCGTAATTGTGGTGAAAATAAACTTTATTAACGAACTTATGAGTATAAGACTGCATCGGTCGGCGTGTGTCCGAATAGCTTCTGGTTCCAAACCCTTGACGCTACCGCCTATTGCATACCGTGGGCAATTACAATATTGTTGTTACGCTAACAATACTCACCCAGATTCACTCTTGTTGCCCCTTTGTAATTATATAATTTCACGAAGCGAACAGTTTGACCTGGCGACATACGTATCAATAAGGATTACACTCGGACGTGAAACCGTTGCACGACTAGTATATTAAAAATTTCGACAGCTGGTTTCCATTATTCGGTTTCCTTACTACAGACAATACATACAACTATAGACAAGCATGGCTTCAATTTGAAACAGTTGACTTGTTCTATGGCCATCCTGCTTACTCACAACAACATTCGCGTACCGTACATATATATCTGCCAATTTCTCTGTTACTTAAAATTCGTATTCAAACCGAATGCCAAATAAGAAAATGCCTTAAAACAGATCTCAAATTTATGTTCCTTTGTATGAACGAGTCGCATTCTATACACCAGCCGCTAGAGCAAACATGTTACTATCCTGAAGATCTCCAGTCCTCTTACAGTTTTTGCCGTAATAATTAGCTTAGAAAAGGGCCTTGCCTGTTTCGTCAATAACATTTTAACAATAACCACATGGGCGAACCAATATCGATCCGTCCAAACTCCTTGAAATTGTCGTTGAACACGCCACATACATAATGTAACAGATTTTCAAGCTGATAATAGGCCAAACATTATAAAAATGTAAAAGATTATATAGAATACCAGTGAAATCGAAACAAAAAAAAAAGCTCATTATTGCAGCCAGTATAGGCCATCCGTCTGGTATATGTTCGTCCAAAGTGAATACACTGGACAATCATTGATCTTCACTAATAGTCCGAAAACAAAATGCTTACTTTCACTATAATAGGTTTGTAACTTCGTTGTAGGAAGAGAAAACAGGTTTTCTCTTGATGGCACTAATGGCGAATAGGCGCATTACCGCTATTACAAACACCGCCAAATGTGTTCCAATTCATTCTTGTCACCCACATCGTACTCTGGTCATTACGAATGGGTAACTACAGCAAAACAAGTAAGACTACCTAATAGTATCAATGAAATTTAAGAAAAACAATAGAAACAGAACACAAATGTGTAAAAGAGAAAGGAAAAGAAACAAAGTGGATTATCTCATTTTCTAGGGGGTAGCTGATTCGAAATAGAAAAGTGGAATTTTGGGTCCCATGTTACCTTCATATCTGTCTTCGAATTCGAATCCATGCCATGAAACGTCCGAATACTTGTCTCTTACACATTAACCGAACCGCTTAATATATATACTGTCAATAGATACCTTTTTGGTCAGTAGCATTTCGCCAATCGAATCGAGTACTGTATGATGTCATAGGACTCTTTCGTATTCAAGATTATCGGAAGCTCGCGTTGCTAAACTGTGTGTTTTTCTCAATAGGAGATTCGTGTGTAAAGCGAAATGTTACTCAGGTGCGCAGTTATCGCATTGGCAGCCCTGATTGGGACAGTGCTTGGAGACCCGACATACGTTCACCCTGAAGGGACGCCGTTATTCGCGAAGTTCTCCGGCGAAGATCCTAGGGGGCACGGAGTAAACGTCGAACATTGCAATGACGTCCATGTAATCCATTTACAGGATATTGGCTATCCTGGAGTTACCGTCGAGCAGATGGTCGCACCATACCAATATGCAATGGTAAGTGGTTACGTAGTTCTCCCTTGGGTTTATATCGCTGAAAAACTCACAACACGCGTTTTATGGGTCGGTAAGTATGTTGTACAGTACAGCAAGACACGTGTCGATGTTGTTAACGTACTATTGTTTCCTTGCAGCCAGACTTTCCCAGTGCAAGTAAGATTGCAGACTTGTTTTAAAATATCTAAGTGTGGATAGGATCTTCGTCTGCAGTGTTTTGCGGAAAACTAATGTTGGTTGTTTCTGGTTCCCGGCTTGTTGTAGGCACCATGGAGGAAAAACGACGAAATGCTAGCAGGCACTCACCTTTTGCTAAATAAAGACGGCGTGCCAATGTTTGCCGCGTACTGGACAGATTTCAGTTTGTACCGCAAGCCGTACGCCGCCGTTTTCACGTACTTGTACCATCCTAAATCGCTGGATAATGCGAAAGACTTTCGACTTATTAGTAACGACGCGGGGAAAGGTGACAAGGAGGCTCATCTTGCAGCGTTACAAAAGCGGACGGCAAAATTGGCCGAAGGAACTGGAAGTTCCAAGGACACAGGTATTTTGAAAAAATGGGTCAATGCGGCGATCACGGACGCCGTAAACTGTATTCGTACGTCTATGAAGAGTGCCCTCGATCCCAACAATGATCTTTATCCTCCGTATGATAAATAAATGTCATCGCAATACGCAGGGTATCTTCTTACTGTGTGTCTAAATCTTCGTACTGTGTAGCGGATCCTTTTACTACGTAAGTCATTCACTGTGTTATCATGATAAGTTATCAATGGTACGTAATTCTATACCACTAGTACGTAATTCTATACCACTAGTGCAGGATCAAGAACGCGATATATAAACCCATGGAGACCATGTAGGGGCTTATTATTTTTTTTTATTTTTATTGTTTTTTTTTTTATTGTTATTGAAATATCTCAGTGTGCATCAGTGTGCATAGAGTTTTGCCAAAACTATGTTGTAGGCACTCTATTTGCCGCGTACTGGACAGATTTGTATTGCAAGCCGTACGCCGCTGTCTTCACGTACCTGTACCATTCTAAATCGGTGGATAATGCGAAGATTTTCGACCTATTAGTAGCGCTGCGGGCAAAATCCCCCTAGTGCAGGGTTAAGAACGCGCTGTTACGTATATTTACTATGTATATAGATGTATATAGGCGCTCATGGAGACCATGTAGAAAAGGAGCCGTTCAGCAACTAATCGAAGCTGTCGAAACCAGACAAACAACTGGCTGCCAATAATGGACATATTTAATAGCTGACGATCATAGAGATGTACTTTGTACGGGTATGAAAATCAACGTTCTTTGCTAATGGCCTCCGAGTCAGATTAACCAAAAAAGCAAACTCAATCCAGTCCAAAACAACCTAAAGCGAAAATATAACGGTCAACACATTTTTTCAGCGCAGGCGTCATAATGAAATTTCTAGCGTATGGCTTCTGTCGGTTTTGTTCTCGGCGAGTCCTGCAAAGGCTTTCTACTACAATATTAGCCGAAATCCTTTACCACGATGGCAGCGATGACCTCCTCTGCACCGAGTTGCCATCAGAGACCCAGCAATCGTTTTTTTCGACGAGCTATACCGACTATTCTTAAAGATCATAGAAATGAATCAAACTATTCCTAATAAATGCTGCAGTCGAACGATTTTAAAGGTCTACGGCAGCTGTACAAAAATATTTGTCGATGCATACTTGTTGTTTATTTTGGATATACATTTCGTAACGCAATTTTCAATTTTTATGAATCGATTCTTTATCTCTTTATTAGCTTATATAATCGTTCAACACAAAATATATCCGACGTTTGTATATTCATATATACACGTGCGACATGTATTATGTACGCAAAATGCACTTTTTTCGGTTTTATTAATGAGTTCATTACCGAGAATGCCATATTGTTTTTTTTTCACTTTAGTCTTTTTTTTTTGCTGTTTGCGAAGTTCGAGATTTAATTTCTATTCAGTCCTATTCAGCACACTCGTAGTGATGACGAACCTGTGAAGTACGAACACATCCTTCCGATATGCCAGGTAACAACTGGCCACTTCGAAGGTAGAAATCAATCAAGGACCTTTGGACGTAATAAACGGAAAGCTACGTTCCAACAATAGTATGTGCTATCAAAGGATATGATCTGAACCAAGGAGAATGATTTTGTACAAACAGTACTTGGAAAAAGTGTACAGGATACACAGCTTCTATGGAAGATTACTTAGAGCGAAATGCTACATTTAGATTATATGGCACAAATAATCGACATTATTGCAATTAATCGCTGACCATAAATCTCCATATACGGCATAGACGCCATGTGGCTTCACCAGCATTTAGCGCATCGCTTACTTCAATATATGATTAAACAATCGCAAATATAATTAAATCGTTCTTTTTGTCAGTTTTGACAGTTATCATGCATCTGAATGAATTTTCGTAAAAATGAAAAGTTTTCCCTTCAGTTTATATGATAAATGTTTGTAATGTATCAACAATACACCGACCAATAATAATAATAATAATACTTGACCGGTAATAATTTTGAACACTACGGCAGAAAGAAAAGTTTGTAGAACTTTTTTTTTTTATTTAAAAAATTTTATGTAGATTTCTCTCCAGTTCATATGTTAAAAAGGAATTGGAGTTAAAAAATTTGTTGACTGAACTGGAAATGCTTGGCGTGCCCTGTATCCTTTTAAGCATATTATTAAATATTTATATACTGTTCGTAGAAACTGTATATACATTTTTACTTTCTGCTGCTTGTGCTGCAAATAGTGTTTAAATTGCTACCTTTAGATGAGAACGTGTGTGAGATTATCAGCTTTATTAATAAATCTTCGCACCACAATTGACTCGTTAATGCAAATAAAACGTTGTTCTCAAAACTGTCTCTGGGGTTCAATATTCATAATGCACTGTATATACCTTTCAGTGCTTTCGTTTTAAATCTATCGTGTAGAAAAATCTAAGCTGATTGGGTTAGTATGCGTTACCCCACGACTTAGGTAGTTTTTTTTTTGTAATTGAGAACATTTTAGGGAATCCGAGCCGATGGTATACTATGCCCAAACTCTATCGCTTATGGATTATATATGGTTCCGATAAGACGACGACATCTGTCACTACATTACGCACTCGCAATAATTTAGAGAAAAATCTTTTATAGACATACCATTTTACGTCAGCCATCCATACCACACATGATTTTAAGCACCACTTTTAGAAGTTTATAGGACTGGGCCGTACTTGTAATTGGCAAGCTGAATATACAATAACAGAACTTGGCAATCACGTTTGCGGTATACAAAAAAGTCACCGAAAAGTGTTTTTGCCTTAAACTTATAAAGAAGCACCGAACTGATCACTTCAATAACATAATGTTGTAATGTAAAGGACATTGCTATCTGCAACATGGTCCCGACATAGTACATATTCAACAAGCTGGTGTCACGGTGCGAAATCGATACATTGGAAATAAATGACTCTATAGAAGACAAGCCCGATTAACACTAGACGGAATGACGCCTTCGATGGAATACTAACTAATAGACTTTCCAAGCATTCCATGGAACATTTTCCAGTAATTAATGTATCTTTTATTATGCTTACCAGCGCGTTCTATCAAGAGGAAACCTCAACACTAGCTACATGAAAATTTCTTATACTGTTACAGGTTATATCTGCCCTAATGAATCCCTAGTTTGTTCCAGTTCTATTGTTTCCCACTCTGCATATTTCGTAAGAAATTCATCATGTTTTTTCAGAAAAATCTGCGAGTCACCAATACAGTCACAGATGAAGATACATCTGTACTTGTTCGACACTCAAAACACTTGGGTTTTCTTGGATTCATCTTGGGTTAGATCCCCTAGAATTAAAAGGGGTTTTCCTTACAGGTACATTCCCGGTACATTAAAAAGGGTGTAATACTCCCCACTAGATTCGTTGTCACTTAAAAATTATCACGAACTATTGTTGCATAGACAATTAATTTTGGTGATACGAGCCTACGCAAATTAAAATTATATGAACTTCAACACGCATCGCAGACCCATCTCAATATCTTGCAGGTTAATACTCTTACTAATTGTGATTTCTCAATACGGTGTATTTATCTAACTAGTACAATACAATACAGTTTCGTGCGATTTAAGTGCACTGTGAGGCTAAATGAACAAAAAAAATAGATTTTATTTTATCGAACAGGGGTCTTAAATATCTAACATACTAACTCAAACTCTTCAGATTATATATAGTTGTGACGCTTACTAACTATGCTTCGACAGTATGAGCGTTGTACCGATGTTTCTACGCGAGTGTAGGCTGCCTGTACGCCCTTTCGAGATTTGACTGCGGGTCGTTTGTAAAGGGAATGCCGTCAAGTTCACATGAAGATACGGCTAAACTCGAATCCATATGGCTAGATATTATTCGATGTAACAGGGAAACTCTAAATTATGAAATAAGCCTTTTTTTTTACTTTCGATTCGACTTTGTTATTTTAATAGATACTCAGAGTATAATTAAAAACTCCGATGTTAGCCGACGATAGCGGTGCAGCCATATAACGATTTGGCTGTAGAGATAGAGACAATAATCAGCGTCGAATTACTATCTCGAATAATTTCTTTCACTATTTTAGCAAGAAATCCTGCACTTCACACTTGTTTTCGCTGGGTGTTACCTACACCTTTTGTTTGGGTTAGAAGGATAACCCTAATAAACGCAAAGGTCTGAACCCACTCACCGCAAATATTAAAATTATATTAATTAAGTAGCTATATACAGACGTCAGCTTGCAGTATGCATACGCTAAGTTCTACTGTCGATACTGTGAAAATTGTCTTAAAAAGACCGTTATCAAAAATGAAGTCGGAGATCGAACTTTCATAAATGCCTATGCAGAGCGCGATTTCTATTACAGTAATATGCCTATATACAGCAACATGTGCAGACTGTCAGGTTGGCCATCGGCGGTGCGTTTCGTGTCCCTAACATAAGTTGGTGCCTGATTATTTAGATTAGTCCGATATTCACTAATTGCGATAGGTACATTGATATCGTGAGGTGAATGCCGATTTCGGCTTTATAAGCACAATAATTCTCTTTTTTTTTAATCGGTACATTATCATGAATTATAAGTTCCATAAGTAAAATTTATATGCCTTATATGAAGAGATTTCACACTACATGGTGGGTTCTCCTTTGTAATTACTGCAGCACCATTCGAAATTAGGAAAAAAACTGGAACGAAGTTTATTGTTAACATTTTTTTGGTATCAGTGCCTGTGCAAAGCTATTAAAGCCATGCGTTGAAATTAGGTAAGCAAAAGCACCAAAATTAGCGCACCAACTAGTTACACAATAAAATTAGCTAAGACAGAAAAACTTATTACAAAATTTAGAAAATCTATGGGCCGAATAGTGAGAATAATTGCCGAATAATTGAGATGTTACATCAGAAAAATGTTACGAAAGCTATATCAATATATATATATATATATATATATATATATATATATATTTAAGGAAAAATATAAAGACATAATGTATCCGTTTACTAATAAAACGCATGCACATATAAAGAAAATATTAGTAAAGTAAGTTAAACGAAACAACTTGATAATATACTGAATTCTGTTTACTTCATTATTCGACGCGACCTACGTAGAGAACTAGACAGGATTAATAAAATGACAAACACAGAATAATGAAGTCTGCTTATAATTAGAGCACAATTAACTTGCCAATTACAAAAATCCGTGACAACGACACAATGCGTATTTCTAACAATTAAAGACTCGTTATTTCTTATCACGGATCTAGTTGCCGGCTCGGAGTTCGAATGATCTTATGCGCATGTCATTTTCGCACTCCCCCAACTGTTTCTAATTGCCTGGGTGCGTAAAACTCAGATAAGAATTAAAATATTTTTTCTGTTCCAACGAGTTAAGCGCGACGCATTGTCGTCGTATCGGAGAGCGTATCGAGTGGTAGAGAGTGGCATCCCGTGTCATTCTGCTTCGATTCAGGTGGGCAAATTTAAAAATGTCAGTGCTCAGTTGTAATACCAGGTGAGGACAGGCCCACTGCTTACAAAGTACTGTTGACGATATTGAAAGACAACTGTGCTTTATACGGATGAGCATGAAGTTAGTTACTCTGCCATGGATATTGTCAGCATCTGTAGGAACCTACTGTTTGGTTGCAACTGATCCAGTTTAATCAGGTTACCGACGTTCAAAAACTGTGAACACCAATTTGTTGTACTTGGTAGCGCCAACAAAATCATAAACGCCGTTATAAACGGGTGGTAAAATGTCCAGTAATTTACTTACCTCAGCTTGGTTGTCGTGACGAAGTTAACGGTGCTGAACGTCATGTGAGCATTACTTCACTCAAATATTTTTGAGATAATTGCGCGCCTTAGACATTGTTCTAAAAAATTCTCTGAATCTCGAATTGACTAGCTTCACAGACAGTTAAAGAACGGTTGCTCCGAAGCGCCATTATTTTGGCCGGACAAAGTCTTCATTCACCGATGCAACCTTGTTAAATTTTAAGCGTTGCCTAATTAGTGATAGGTACGCATAAATAATAATAATTTAACAGTGATATATCTGCCTGGCGAACGAAGTTTCATCTTTTTTTTTACCTTACTCATAGCTGCCGTAATACATTTCTGCTTGTCATGCTATGCGATCGTATTCCGCGGCAAGCTGGAAATATTAATTAACGAGAAACGCTCCAGATGACAGGACAATTTTTTTTCTCAAACGTGCTACCTCTTGTACTGGAACCATTTTAGTATTAATTTATGATGAAACTTAATAAAGTTTCAATTAATGTACACACGGGAAACCATTTATTTCTTAATATCTGTAAATAATTTTCATCTTCAGTATGTCGTTAATATACAAAATATGGTAAAAATAAGCTAATAATGTAGAAGGGCTTTTATACTTAAATCCTTTATTAATTCCTTAATCACAGAAAACATTAAGCTTCCTGTTGCGGAGCGTGTAAGTTTACAGATAAAGTAGCACCCGTTTCAAATAAAAATTTACGTTTTTCTTATTCGAAATCTTATTTCTCCTATCTCGACACTTACGTTACTCCCCTCTGTAAGCTTACTTTTGCCCCACCCTGTATATTTACAGCTTAAATCATCGTAAAAACATACGGAAAAAGCTTTGTTGGAGTGGAAGATATGCAAAGTGCACTGTAAACAAACTTTATAACCTTAACATATCCTGCCTAAATAGTACAGCCCTTTTCAAATCTAAAAATGGTCAGCAATCAAAAAAGGTAATTTACAAAGCAATAGTTGGATACCTGATTAACTCTAACACTTTCTATTTTGATAGAAACTGCATTTAATATAGTGCTACTTATTAAGTGTGCATATTCTGTAAGTACATAGTGGAAATTTTATTTAGCTAAAGATATTTTTCCACAGCATTTGTTTTTTATGAATCCTCATCTTTTCTTCATAACAAATCTAACCCTAACGTAACCTAATGTTCTAAACGATCGTGCGATGTATTTCAGCAATGCTTCACGTGAGTCGTGTGAGTTTTACGCACGCGTATAGACGCACTATGACTTCATCAGCGTTGACCGGAGACGCTCCCAGTGACGTCCTATTGAAACTCGTTGGCCGAAAAGGTGTCATCACTATGAACAGGCCAAACGCTCTAAATGCGCTCTCACTGTCGATGATTCGCGTTATGGAGCCAGTTGTCCGCAAATGGCACAATGACAACTTGGCTGACCTTGTTGTTCTGCGGGCCTGCGAAGGTAAAGCTTTCTGTGCGGGAGGAGATGTCAAGGCTATTGCTGCTAATAAGGGAAACAATGATATTTTTTTTAGGGAGGAGTACGTCCTTGACTATCTTCTGGCTAAAATGAGACCTACCCTCGTGTCTTTCATTGACGGTATCGTAATGGGTGGAGGCTGTGGTATTTCGTTCCACGGCCGATTCAGCATAGTTTCAGAGAATGCATTATTTGCTATGCCAGAAACAGCGATTGGTCTCTTTCCCGACGTTGGAGCGTGCCACTTTTTGTCTCGCATGAAGCATAACTTAGGTGTGTTTTTCGGTTTAACCGGCAACCGTATTAAGGGCGCGGATTTGGTGCATGCGGGCTTGGTAAGCAACTTTGTGCCCTCTGAGAAGTTTAAGCAACTCGAGAAAGATATAATGAACCTAAATGATTGCTCAGAGGGGGTAATTGATACGGCGATATTGGCATATCAAGCACCAACAGGCAAATTTTCACTGGAGTCCCATCTGTCCGAGATTGAAAACTGTTTCGGAGCTAACACTGTGGAAGAAATTGTCGCGAAATTGAAAAAGACCGGAAGTGACTTTAGCAAGAAGCAGCTCGATATCATGTCGAAGATGTCACCACTTTCGATGAAGATCACCTTGGAAGCCATTCGAAGAGCTAAAATGATGAGTCTTGCAGAAGTGCTTCAAATGGACATGCGACTGGGTGCTCGCTTTGTACGGGACAATGATTTCTATGAAGGTGTAAACGCTTTGTTAGTGAGGAAAACCAAAGATCCAAAATGGAAACCAGCCACCCTTGAGGAGTGTACTCCAGAAATAGTCGACAAGTACTTTTTAAAGCTACCACCAGCGGAGGAACTCAGGCTGGAAATTTAAAACAAACCAAATTTATAGAAAGGGCAAATTGAACCAAGAAACACGCTGAAAACTGTACGTCAAGAGTGCAATTGTTCATATATCGGGAGTAAAGAACCAGCTATTTTTCATCCGTGAATATTGTTCCTCTTAGTTTTTTTCGGAATCAATACGTCCAGAAACACGCATTTCTTTAATGAACATGACGTGTATTTAATCGAATTGTCTCATTGAGCTGGGAGCGTTTGTTAATCCAATCAGGAAACATTTATCTTCCTGCACCTAACGTTTTCTGGGATAAAGCTTTGTGATTATTATGCAAAACTTCAGTAGCCTTCTATAATATACGCGGGATCAAATTCCTATTTAACATCATATACTGCTCCAGCCAGTCGAACCCATTGAGGCTATTTCATGAAGGTTTGTTACGAGCGAATGCGATATAGAAAAGTGTGGTTTTGCATAGCGATCTAAAAAAGTGTGCATAGCAGGCACCCCACCATTCAAAAGATTAATGGAGCATGTTATGACAGTTAACAATTGAGTAAAGCCGTGATATATATACCAAGTGCAAGCCTTCGACCATTAAAAGAGGATTATTTTTGCTCTTCGTTTGCACTCCGTTAATTTCACCTGCAAATGGCGTTATAATTTTTTTTTGGAGGAAAATTATGAGTAACAAAAGTAATTCTGGTTGTTTTAATTAAGTAGCGCGCCGAGAACAAATGCTAAACACAATTGGATTTCTGCCAATTTATCTTGACTATTCGACAAAATTGCTAACTACCGAGAATCTAATTATAACTTTTGTCTTTTATACAACAGTAAGCAACTTTTCGAAGAAATTTTGAAAATCTGCAAAATTTCAAGACAAAAGTCAAATACTCTACGCATGTGTATTGCAATGTAAAATAGATTATATCAAATTATTTTACTGAGAAAAAATAAAATAGGAAATGTATTTTCATCATAAACGTAAGTTTCATAGTCTAATTCTTCACATTGTAACATTGTTCAGAGTTTATACAGCAGCCATTATGGTAGTCAAACAAATCGTGCTTTTCTGGCGAAGAATGCCATGAAGATAGATATATACTCTTTAATTGTACTGTAATAACATGTATCTAATATAGTGGAATCTACGTAGGGTTAAGTTGATGAAAGAAGTAACCTGTCAAAATACTGATCATCACACACTATAAAATTTAGGAGTCGAAACTCAATGAAATCAATGGCAAAAAGGTGCTTAAAAAATCAGCGTGAAATGATACTGATAGTGATTGATACTGAAACCCTTTGGTCTAAACAGCAGAACGCATTCGAACCTTGTAGATGGATAGCTATGTTTGGTAAAGAAATCAATTTTTTAGAAGTACTCTTTGAAGTAATACTACCAACAGTTTGATTTACGGTACAGAGAAACAAGATGTTTTTAAAATTTGCCGCCACAACTTGACCCATCCCTTTGTAAAGGCCTCCGGGCGGCGATTGTTTTCGAAGTCTATGAGTTCGAGTTTGCGTTGCTATACTTTTTAGTGGTGAAGTTTTTCGTGAAGTTTTTATCCAAGTTCATTTCTTTAACTTCCCTATCTCCACGTAAAGGTTAGTCAATATCTAGGAGTTCGTCATTCATACGTTTTCGGTGGCTGTGACACCTGATTTGTGCTAATTCAACAAATTGATCCGGTGTACAGTGGTTGGGTCTTACTGGCGCTGCGAGCAACAAGCTAAAGGCACTATCCCACGAACTCCTCTGAGAAGGAGGACCCCTATCACTATCCATTTGGGTTTCTCGACTCTGGAATCGAGTCCCAGCTTTGCCGCTGTCGCGCTGCTCCACAATGACAGATCATAACACCATCACTTTCTCGTCATGATGTATTCACACAATTATCTCTATTTAATTCCTCTGTCATGGACTATCCAACTGCGGCGTGTTGAAAGCAAAATCAGGCAAACAAGAAATCGCTAGGCAATCATATTTTAATTGTGGTAATTTGGTTCAAGGAATAAAATTTGTTAATTTCTTTATCGATAGGAGCGGGCTTTAAAATGATGCTGTCACGTAACCAGACATACCCGTTCTAAGTAGTACATATTTTTTTTGCACGTTCGACAAAGGCATGTAATATAGTAATGCATAATTTTAACAACGGTTACATACGACTTGCTCTGTGTAGCGGTCGTTAAAAGTGGCGCCGCCTTTTTACTGTCAGTATAATTCATCTGTAATCCTGGTAAATTCTTTCGGTTTCGATTCGCCCTTTTGCCATTTAATTAAACGGCGGAGGGAGAAAGGCAACTACGACAAGTGTCTCCTAGAACGAGAAATTACTGATTATGCTTCTGTTAAGATTACAGTTAAAAAATGTGCAAGTCGATTGATACCTAGTTATGGATCAGCGTTTATTTATATTTATTAGTTGTACAAAAACGAAACCGATCCTTGCAGTCAGTCTCTGTGTACATCGAAATGGCAACCAGAATTCTATACACGGACCTATTGCAAGAATTGGTTTCATTTCTTAACATATTTACGTTGAGTATGAAGTTGCATATATTTGGAAGGTGAGAACCTAATATGTAACTTTGCCAGGGATATGACGTTTGTTTTCTGATTAAAAAATGGGCGCGGATATAAACATTAGATGCATTGATTATATGGTGTATGAGTAATTTACTTTTTACAGTCTTCTTTGAAGGACGTAATGAAAAAAATTTGTGATTTTTTGTACCCGAGCGAAGTTTTAGTTAAACATTACCCTGAATTTAGTATTATCCTTATTTTGATATGGCTTTTTCAGAAGTTATTTATATTCAAATTGATATCGCTATACAATGGTATACAACAACAGGCATATAGTATTTTAATTATAATAACAAAAAAGACGAAAAATCTTGACACCTTTAACCTATATAATTGACTACATAATTGACCGTATTGAAAAAACCGTTCTTGTCAAAACAAGCAGTCTATCTGAAAATGAACTCTTAGATTAAAACAGTTTCCATCTTGACGGCGCACATTTTACGTATTGATGCTATTAATTTTCCTGCCTTTGTCATATCACGCGTATTACGGATGAGTGTGATACATACGGTTTGCTTTCTCGTATTACAGGTCATTGTGTAGCAAGTGCACATGTATAGGAACAATTACGATATAATTTATCGAGCAATGTGATAAAAAATAATCTAATCTACCTAACATGATATGGAGAGAAATTTTTCCGATGACGTGTAGATACATAGACCGATTTTTTCAGTACTCTCTTATTGGCTAATCAATTTTGCGATATGAATACCGCACAAGAACCCCCCTATACATATACATAGGAACTAAAGATAAACTCAATGCTCTGTTTCTTTTCCGTTAATTTCTTCATTCAGTGTAGATGGATGTTGAAACCGGACTTCGCGACGACGAAATTAACCCGGTAATGAAACGGTCGCATCATTCGCGCCTTGCTACAGTGGACGCGGCTGGTGGCCACAGCCTTGTCGAAGGGGTGGATGTCCATGACACGCAGGATACCGAGCAACACACCGAAAACGAGAACTCTATGGAAGACCATGAACCTGCTGAGCTCGTAGAGCCCGGTGAAGAAGCGGTAGAAGACGATGCAGAAATTGCCGCAGCCGTCGGTGAGGAGGAAAGCGGCGATCAGACGCCAATCTATTGCATTCTGTGTGACGCTGAAATTCGTGGCAAGTGGGCGTATCGTAAGCATATTATTAAGCACCAAGAAGCTGCCCAGCGGGGCCAGGATCCGACAGAAGAGCTGCTCGTACCGTTCAATCAAAACAAGCAGGAGGAGTCGCCCCTGACGTATACTTTACGTTGCACCGTGTGCAGTTTTGTTACGAACGTTCCCCGCGACCTAGAAAAACACTATCACACCCATTTCGTCGGCTATCGATGTCTGCTCTGCAAGTTCACGACGCTGCACCGAACCCGGTTGGCGGCCCACTATCCATTACACAAAAAAGAAAGAGCCCGATTTGAATGCCGCATGTGCGGCGCGACCTTGTCATCGACCAGTGCATTGAAGAAGCATGTGGCCCGTCACTCAGAGGGGACGATTTGCTGTAGCATGTGTGAGTATAAAACATATGATCAGTTTCTGTTACGGGAACATTTGGCCACAAAGCATAACGAGGTTCGTAAGAAGTACAAGTGTGAGCACTGCGACAAGGAGTTTGGAACGTTTAAGCGGTTTTTCCAGCATCGACAGGAAGCGCACAAAGGCTTCGTGTACAAGAGGCAGGTCGACCCGAAAATCTGCGACAGGTGTGACTTCCAATCGACGAAAGTTAAAGAGATGAACGCTCATAAGCTCAGTCATCAGGGTATGGTCGATGTTCTGCCAAATGGGCGATATCTATGCAGAATACAGGGATGTTCCGATACGTTTAGCAGCGCTACCAAATACGAAATGCACTTCACCAAAGTGCACGACAAAAATAACATCTACGGGCTGCGATCGGAACGAGGGAGAAGCTGTAAAGTTGAGGGGTGCTCGTTCACAACGGTGAGAGAGTCTCACCTAAAGCTACATATGAGGGTTCATCGGACTCAGCAAACGAAAGGCACTGATTTGACAGAAGGAGGTGAAACTGCTCAAACGGCGACGCACGTCGCGCCACCACCGGCAAAAGCTGAAAAGAAGAAACGCGCCCAAGGAACTTGCCACATCTGCATGGCAAAGTTCAGCGACAAATACAAAGTACGCAGCCACATTGAGACTGTTCACAGCAATCTGAAGCCGCACGAATGTGATATGTGCTGCTATAGAACGGCGTACAAGTACAACATGAAGATCCACATGAAAAAGCTCCATAACACCGAATACGGCACGACGGCCGCGGCAGTTGCTGCTACGACAATGAAGGGAGCAGTTGAGGCTGGCCTGGACTCAAATCAGGCGTTGGCCACATTTCAGGACCAGGTGGCCATTGGTGCCACGACGGCACAAGCGGCTGCCGCGGCGTTGGGTGTTGGGGTCGTAGGAATGAGCGCTGCGCCCTCGACTGTGACGTTTTTGCAAACTGCACCAACGACTGCACCCGCAGTCACAACAATAACTGTTCCGGGATCGACGTCTGTGACAGGGCAACCAGCACATGAACAGCCTGATTATCAGCAGGAATACGAGTCGGGATCCGAGTACGAACCGGAATGGACTACAGAATAGACTGTTAGTTAGGGTATTTTACGAAACATTTTGTTTAATTAACTTATTGTTGTGGGGTTTGGTTGCTTTTTTCTAGTTTTGGCCGTTGGAGGCGCTTACTTGTCACAATGGGTGTTGCTAAAATAAAGCCTTTGTTTTCTAAATATCCATGGATGAGGGATTCGCTTAAGTCAAGTACTGGTTGATTGCTAATTTAACTTACACAATGTGTAAATGATTATTTTTTTAGTGCTGAGACATATAAAAAAATAGTGAATGTTGTTTTGAGTGAAGTGTGTTTAGGTAGCGGATCCCTATGGTTTGTCCTGTAATCCATTTCAGCCCATGGGCGTTCCACACACAGTTGATATCAGGCCATGGTGTTTTCCACAACGGACTATAGTGTTCCGTCCAAATATGGTAGTAAAAAACTAGCCGAAATGAATAAATAGGTTCTCGAAGTTAACTAACAAATGGGAGATTGAAAACTGGACACCATTTTCAGTGGTCCATGCTTCGTAATCGATGTTTACGTCTTTTGTACCTTTGTTTGCTCTATATAAAATCATGTTTAATGTATTGGAAAACCTGTTTGATAGATGCGAAAGCCTGCAGACAACGCTCACTTTAACATGCTAAATTGCTTCGCTTTCACCGTTAATAGACTCGGTGCAAGCAAGCTAAGTATCAGTAGAAGATTGTCTATTAAGCCAATGCTGCTACACCATTGAAGCTCTAGTTAAGCAATATAGATTATAAAAACTTTATGCAATTATTGATCTGTGGATGTGTTTGAGTGATCTCTACGTTTTTGTTGTCCGTCTCTTGAAACTATATCCGGTTGTTATCGTTCATTATACCGAATCATGTATAGTGCCGCATAATATTATAGATTAATATCCTATGATAATAAGACACATATATATATATACAATTTTTTTGGTTGTATCATTGAAAAACATGGGTTATTGTCTATTTAACAGGGCTAATAGCTGAAACGAAGTATAACAAAAATTGCACTAATTTATCAAAAGACGTTTGTGACCTATTTCACCGACGTAGTAAATGTAACAATTCAATAACGAGCGCGCAAAACACTTGGATATGAAGTGGCAACGCGAGGGGGCAAAAGGTCTTTGAAACTACAATGTACATTGTATGAGGCATGTATTATAGTAGACTGTATGCCAAAAAAAATCATAGGACGTAAATGAATAAACAAATAGGAACAAATATGCCAGAGATTGTACAAATGGGACTGAGAATCTCAAAAGTGGCCGCCTCTTCTATATGAATATGTCTCAAATAAAGCAACGTATGTAACGTAAGGTTACTGCATCGTTAATATGCATCAGCTCGATCCGTCTTCTATTTAATTTCTAGTTATTAAACTATATATATGCACAAAGAGTTAGCAGTAGTAATCTGCTAGCATTTTGTTGCTTCTAAGGCCCATTAATAAAGCGTTTCGTTTTTTCTTACTAACAATTGTGCCAGTTATCTTTATAGATTTGAATAAATACTTGGCCTAATTTTTGTTGCCTTAAATTGGAAAATAATATTCACTCAAGATTTTTTCAGTGAGATTAATACTATTTATAAGTATGGCCGCGTCACTGTGTGTTAAGAAGTATGGTTATTGTGGTTTGACCTGTACCATTGGCAGACGTGTTTATAGACTAAGTTGATTTATTTATTAATAAATGTTCATTGATGACATTTGATGACTTTTCCTTTATTACCTTCAGTCTTCAGTTGTCTATCATATAATTTGATGTTCATGTCCCCGTATTGATGCAGTGATAACATGTTTGCCTTCTAAATCTACAAAGACATGAAGCGGTCTAGATTCTAAACCTAGATTATTTCGTGCCGAAAGCCAGTCGTCTTAAACAATGCTTGAAGATGGTATCGGAGAAAATATTTTTGTATGATCTATAAATTCCTTCGCAATCTCAAATAATGGAAGATTGCCTATAAACAATTGTTATTATTATTTATTTATGATTCGCTTCTATTTAAGCAATGTGATATTTATTCGTAATGAATAGAAAAGACACATTTTTAAAAAGGAATACGGTTCTTACTTAACAGTTCAAACAACGAATTAACGTAATACATCACAGTTAGTTTAACAGTGTCGTTTCACAATTGTATTTTTAAGGATGTGACTTTTGTGAAAAAAAAAACACGTATCCTGTGAAAATTCAACTCACTGACAGAAATAGATGTCACGATATTGCGAAATAATGTAATAATAGAGTCGGTAGTTAATCAAATAGTATAACCTAAGAGGTGTATCATAAGTTGAATATTTGCGTTAATTACTCTAACTGGGATATAACAGTCGCTATATTTCCTATCTGGAGCAGTGTCTACATCTACTTCTACTACATACTTTGTGCCATACAAGATGATGCATATTAGGATAGGAAGATCAAATCGACTCCGAGTAAAACCTAAGATGTTTTATCATTGGGTTCGTCTCCAAACAACGAAGTCAGTAAGCAATCACAAGTAAAGGGTCTAATCTTAATTAAGATTAATAAATTAAAAAATTAACAATTGGAATGTGAACATAATTTAAGATCATGATTGCAACCTCCATTGTATAAACCCCCATAAACAACATAATTTTACTTATATTCCAAAGTTTCTTTATAAAACAGGAACAGGAATGATTGGCAAAGCGCGAAATGGATGGTTTCCGTATGACCAAGCAGTGACACCTATTAATGGTCCCATAATTGCATGGTCACCATATCAAATGCCTGGAGATAATACAAAAATGTGGTCATATAGATATAAGATAATTATTAATGCAGTAGTTGCATATAAAAGATTTGTTTCGTATGGTGCTGATTTTCAACAGCTTGTACATATAATTCACCCGACACATGATCAGGCAATTGGAGGAATATTGGAAAAAATAAAGACATAATAATTAATTGAATCCAAATTGTTTCTTTATTTCATCACTTGTATCCGAATACTCAAAATCTTTATAAGATTTATATTCAGTTTTATTTGAAGGGTCCGGTAAATATATAAGTATATCAATTCTTCTTTTTAAAGCGGTCCAATTATATCCTTTGAAATGGTACCATTCTTCAGGGTGAGCGTTAGATGTTATAAATATCCATTCGGCAATAAAGTTAGCAAAGCTTCCTTTTATTGGGACTTTGTAGGGGTAACGATCAGCTATTTTTAATAGCTCATCGTATTTCAACCAGCCGTAGAAGTCGTCAATAATAATAGCTTTATGATTACAGTATCCGTCCCACCATTCTCCTCTGGTTTTGTAAAAAGTTTCATCTTCACCATAAAGATTTTCACATATTTGCCGCACTCCAAAACTTTTCCCAGTACCGGGGTATCCATACACAATGCATAGTTTAGTTCTATGGTTTCTTTTAGCTCCAAGTCTTAAGGTTGTAGCTAGATCTTTGATTCCTCGATGAAATTTAATGTAGGCAACTGGATGGGATTCAGCAACAGCACCAATGGGATCATCTTTATTATCTAACAATGTATCAACAACATTGTAAAGGTCATTACGCTGACCCTGAGAATTTATACGTCCAAATTCTTCAAAATGGCCGCTTTTAGTACAGTATTCTCTGTTCTTTTCTTCGCTAGCTTTTGCAATTTCAATATGTGCGCGTTCACTTAGTAGAATCTTGAAGCGATCCAACGATGTTGGTAGTTCTCTTGCTGCATAGCCTTGTAGATGTTTTGTGCCAGTGTTAGGAGCTATTTCATAGCCCCAAACAATGTATCTGAATTGAGTAACATTCTCCAGAATAGCTGGACCCGCAAACGGCGGATTCGCGTAGATAAAATTTCGAAAGAATCCAGGGTTTCTAACTGCTGCCCCTACAACTACTGGGAGGGTGTGCGCTATGGCACTTCCAATTCCTGGTTTTCCTATTGGACGATAACGCCTTTTAAGTAATGGTTCTTCCATGTAAGTACTGTCGATAAATTTCACAGTACGCGTCCTTGGCTGCACCAATACCTATCCGCTTTCTAACTTGTAATTTTATCTTTGTTATATGAAGCTTCCTATTTACGGTCACAGGATTTCCTACTCCGCATACAAGATCGCCTTTAAGCCTCTTGAGTTCTAAGCTAAGTACTCTGATAAAATAATCTTGCTTAAGCATGCCACGTATAATATCATCAAGAGTATAAGCACTATTGCTGACGTAATCCATGTCTACTTGTTTGGGCAAAGCGTCCACTTATATAGTGGATATCTCTCCAGTAGGGGAGAGGGCAATTGGAGGTGACGTCATTTCCTGCTGGGGCCCGCTATAATAATGACAGAAGTCTCTCGGGGTAATACTGTGCCCGAGAGACTTAGTACGTCCAAGTAACCAAAATGGCTGCAAGAAATATGAAATTTAGAAGAGCTGCTTGGACATTGAATAACTATACTGAAGACGAACTTCTAAATATTAAGGAGAATGTTACTCAATTCAGATACATTGTTTGGGGCTATGAAATAGCTCCTAACACTGGCACAAAACATCTACAAGGCTATGCAGCAAGAGAACTACCAACATCGTTGGATCGCTTCAAGATTCTACTAAGTGAACGCGCACATATTGAAATTGCAAAAGCTAGCGAAGAAAAGAACAGAGAATACTGTACTAAAAGCGGCCATTTTGAAGAATTTGGACGTATAAATTCTCAGGGTCAGCGTAATGACCTTTACAATGTTGTTGATACATTGTTAGATAATAAAGATGATCCCATTGGTGCTGTTGCTGAATCCCATCCAGTTGCCTACATTAAATTTCATCGAGGAATCAAAGATCTAGCTACAACCTTAAGACTTGGAGCTAAAAGAAACCATACTCGACATCCGCTTTCTGTTTTTTAAACATTAGAGGATAACGCATGTATACGAGTATGTAGTTCTGTCTCTGATTCAGGCCTATACAGTTATAGAAATTTTAGAAACTTATCGACAAAATGCTATTCTAAAAAACAAACTAACTTACATAGTTAAACAGGTGCTGAAGATGTGACTGACTTAGGATAATGTTTTTCTTTGACAGACAGCTTATCGTCACTCAGTTGTATATTCTCGTTCCTTCATATTATCATTGCATCAGCATTTATTTATTTCTTCTATGTTTTCTTTATGGTTTTTATTTTTTACGACATATTTGCACGAAGTCGCACTTTTGCAAAACTGCATCAAAAAGTGCACTACTTGGTTACTAATTACTAATTTTAAACGGTTTAGATTAACGAAAGCAATAGATGCACTAATGTTTATAATGTTCTTTACAGAGTTTGTTTTAGAAGAGGGAAAAACAGCCTGCATATAACTCGTAAAACGATCGTGATCTTCCACTTCATTAAGTGTCGCTGCATTATAAGGATTAACACAGGGCTTACAGGCCAATAATCCTATTCTGGCTCTGAACTTGCAAGTCTTCTGCTATAGTAGGTTAGGCGACGAACAAATGAATTTATGGCTTTTTCGACCGTTATCCCTTGTGATACAGCACGTAACTTGGTATCTGTGTTAGAGACACGAGTAGGCTTTAACTACAGGAAACCAGACAAAGTTATTCGTTTGAACGTCCTTGATGTAACTGTCTATATATACATATTTTATGAGACATTTAAAATTACTGTAAATACTAGTAATAACAGTAACTACAAAAACAATAAATGAAATAGGGTGAGCTGATTAAAAACACGTATATGTAATTTTCACACAGCTGAGTTGTGCCTCTTTAATAAGGAAGCACTATCTTTCGGAAAATTATAGAAACATAGTAAAACGATTTCTTTAACAAAAGAACGCTCGCCGCAGTACTTTTAGAACTGTTCTTTTTTTCTACTTACAATATACAATTAAGAAAAGTTTTCTTGCACTACGAAGCATAGTAGTTTCGCTTTATGCAACAGCTTCTATTCGGCTTCGACCCCAATGTTACAAACACGCGTTTGCTCGTTATATAAATGAGTACAAGTCTGTGGCGTGGTTAGTCAGATTGCACTATTTTTCAGTTGCAACCAGGTACGATAGCAATGAACAAGTTCATTCTTGTTTTTTCTACCTGTTCTTCTGTTCATTCACATTGAAACAACTGCAGATAAAATTCATCTCCTCAAATTCGCTCCTAGAAAAGTTCGTCTTAAATGACAGTCACCGCCGCTAGACATTACGGTTGATCGGATTAGTTGATCGTCATAATTGAAGAAGGACGTAAATTATAATAATGAATTCCTACAAAATTATACACTGTTGTTGCATTTCACGCTTCAGCACTTTTACTCATCGACGACAAGGCTTCACCACTCTTTAAAACCTGCTGCCATTTCCAACATCACTAATATTTACTGGTATTCTTCGTCTAGGCTTTTTCTCAGTTTTGTGCTCATGGTCTGTCGTGCCACCCGGTCCTCTTGGCTTGAAAGGCGTACTTCTGAAAATTTTCAGTGCTTACAATCTATACTTCATTCACTTGCCTATTTAAAGCCGTTTGGGCTTGCTTAACTTTGCATACAAACGTGTGAACGGACACACACATACATACCTGCTACACATTCAAAGTTAATTTTTTTGAGAACGGCATGCCTACGCAGCCGTATAAAATTGAAGCACGATCGAGTGTCCGGTAAGCACTAAAAACGGGCAACGTGCGAAGCTTCTCACTACCTGAAAGCTACTGAATAAACCTGTCGGTGAGAATCATTACTTACCAGAACGGTTGATCATGCATACTCGGCAAAAAATACACGTGTTAAAGTTTAAAGCTAAATATTGATTTCCTACTATTTCCGATTCCGTATATAGAGTGGATATGGTATAACGCTGTATAAATTGTGCACAGATAGTAGCTACGGGTGCTTGGTTAGATTATGGCATAGCAAATTTGCTAAAGTTGACGTCCGCCTAGCTTAACGTTATCATAAAGCAGCAAGACGAGCCTTATTCCCGCAGCGACGCTCCTGCGAGTTGCGATGTTCGCGACCTCGCGGCTAACTTCTACACCCGGAAACTACCTCTAGTCAGAACGGACACGTTCAATCTGCTTAGAAAAAGCTCTGACACACTACATTGTCAACAGCAACGGTAATATGGCATTCTCAAACGAACAGTGTCAAGAATTCATTCGTATTGATTAATTAACTCGACTTCTTCAGCAACAATCGGCGTACATTTATAACCATTTATGATGAAAGTGATGACTTAAAAAATCGTTCGTGTAGTAGTAGAAAATTGATTAAAATATTTGCAAAAATGTGTTCATAATTATCATTAGCTTATGCTTAGCAGTAGACAACTAGAATAATTATATCGTGAGTTGACCGGCTAGCTTTTGATGTCTGTATAATAAGTTGCCTAGAATATTAAAACAGGTTCCGGGAAATTGAATAGAAAGTCCACGTCACTATAATAATCGATTAATTTACCAACGCATTCTAGCCACAGCAAGGTCAGTGTATGGTAATAAGTCAATCCTGTCATGAGTAAACAATGACGAAGCATTATTTCTATCCTTTGAAATCATATTACGAACTTGTAGAAAAAGGTCCGAATCACGTTTGAGCTAATAGCAATCGGTACTGGCGATTTGATTATTATTTCGTCATGTTATTGTTTCCCCCAAAAGATACTCATGCATCTCTTGATTTTTTGCCTCTTTCAAGCTGTTAATCAAAATTGAAATAGAAAAAAACGTTTATATGATGAGTAAAAGCAAATAGAAATTGACTGAGTTCGATTGACAAAGGAGACATCTCGGCCAATCCTATAGGGTGAAGATCGTTGTGGTACTAGTTTATAAAATATATTAAGCAAAAGAAAGTCCATTTTAAGAGTGAGTTAATTATTTTCTAGTATGTAAAGTGGGGTAAACGACGGTCGACGGGTAGAAATTACTCATTTTGTCTGTTGAACTTGGGGCAGTTAAAGCAAAATGCTGACGATTGATGCCTAACTAGTTTGACCTGTATATAAATTTTGTGAATAGCTGCTTGGGCAGATACGATGGAAAAGCAGATTCGGATAAAAAAAAGACCAAAAGGTAGGCTATAATTAATGGTCAGCTGAGTTTGACAAATATATGGGACACGAAAACAGTATATTGCTCTTAAGAGTTTTCGCACTACGTAGCTGTAGCTAAACAAAAAAAAGGCATAAAACGTGTTAGCGTCTTTGGAAAATATATAATACATTGCGTTAGATAAATTTTACGCTTTGCAATTTCTTTCAAATGTTTTTTAGTTTCTGATTCTTCGACATGAAAGATTGCTGCTTATTTAAATCCGCTTTAACACTTTCGTAGCACTTTTCTTAACCGCAACACAATGACGATAACATTTTTGTTCGTTGCTTTATTGTTTTAAAAGAGTTTAAAGGCTTTTATTCATATTCATATGTTTTATAAATATTAAGTTAAGCAATTGACGTATAAGAAATCAGTAATCATAGAGTAAAATCAAAGCAGAAGGATTAGCTTATGCTTTTCACGTTTCTTTAACGTTGCATTCAGCAGTGTTACCCTCAGAGGTCAATGTTTTTCGGTTTATACTTGCGGGTCTTCTTGATTATGCCGGACTCAATAAGGCCGTACGCCGTATCCAAAATGGACGTCTCGACAGGGCGAGGCTCTATTTTTAAGATTCTCTTCATTTTTTCATTCGAATACTTAAAAACTTTGTCCAGCCGTGGTAGCAACAAGGCAACCGTGGGGTCAAACCAGGAGATAAGCCAAAGTCCTATTTTTGGTACCCGGTGGCAAGGAGGTCTATAACCCATGGGACTGAATTCCTTCAAGAGAATTTTCGATGCCTCCTGCATCCAAAGGGTCTCCATGACGACGCAAATTCGTTCTCCTGCAGCTTCCGGTACGGTAAGAGCTTTCACGTGCGCCTCGGCCACATCGCGAACATCACAAAAAGCGAAATTAAGTCCGGGTACCATCGGACTGCTACCGTCCATAAGCCGCTTGATTGCTTCTACCGACGTACCAAAATCGTTTCCAATAATTGGGCCTACGACAAGCGCAGGAAGTATGGTCACGAGCTCCATCTTCGAGGTATTCTCTGGCGACTTCACAAAATCCCATGCCGCTTTTTCTGCAAGCGTTTTGCTGCGTTCATACCAACCTAGTGTCGGTGATTCCAGATCCGACCACTGGGTCTCATCATAAAACGTTTCGTTGTCCGTTTCCAGATGTCCGTGGATCGATGCAATGGAACTAGTCAAAACGAGCCGCGTAACGCTCGCCTTGGCCGCTGCCTTAATTACTCGTAGAGTTCCTTCTACGGCAGGTTTCACTAATGAGTCGGGATCTTTTGGGGCGAAATTGGGAAAAGGCGATGCAACATGAATAACGTATTTTATCCCGTCGACAGCCTCGTTCCAGCCCTCATCCTTGGTAAGGTCTGCTTCAACCAGTGTTACCTTATCTTTGGCATCGGGATGACACTCATAAATGGGCTTACATTTTTTCTCGTTCTTCACAGATCGCACCGTTCCTCTCACTATGTAGCCATTCTTTAGTAGCATTCGCATGATGTGGATGCCTATGAAACCGGAGGCTCCAGTCACCAGCACTGTCTCGTTCGGCATTTTAACTCACTGATTTCTATGTCTTACTCTCAACCCGTAATAACTTGAGAGTTGTTACGAGACACTGGCAAACGACGCGCCGTTTCAGCTATCAGCAATCGTTTGTCTATCCCACCATCTCGAATAAACCTCCACCAGGTTTGTTGCAGCCAACCGAGCTCGCGGGTTGTCTCTTTCTAATCACGCTGATGTCCACTTTAACACCGTCCGTCGAGTACCTCAATAGTTCCACCTGCTACTCAAATCAAATTCAAAGACGCTCCGGATGTTCTGCCGCAGTCAATTTAGCCAGCCGCAGAATGAATAGTCAATTGCTGCAGCTGACACAGCTTGAACGATGGCGTAGATGTCTATTCTCGGAAAAATCTTGCTGAACGCTTTGAAGAAGTGGAAGCTCGAATTGTGCGGAACCTGTCACTTGGCGTTCTGCGACCCTAATAGCAACCACCGAAGTAGCAATAGCGAAAGCAGCAGTTGCCGTAGCGTTAAGCAGTCAAAAGACGTCCCGCTTCTTCTCGCCCCTGGTGCGCTGCCGCCTTCCGCTGGGCCCTCACTGTATTTGCAACTTCACCTATGAGGATCAACGTTAGCGAAAAACTATGTCATACGAGGAACAGACAGACAGCGCCATAGGCAGCATTCAGAAGTTGCCACTAGCAAATAATGGGGCAGGAAAACGTTCATTCGATAATTTCGATTTTACGCATGTAGCCGACAGAGTCATTCTGTAGAACGTAACTAGATAATATTTGAAAAGTATGATCTAGCACGCTTCGTGTTGATACTGCATGCACTATGAAATGGTGAAAGAAATAGTATTCCGTTTAGTTAATATTGGATAGCTCTTCAAAAACACAGTATATGGATTATGAAGATAAGTCTAAGTGTATAGTTTCGACTTAGTGGAGCTCCATTAAGATGAGCCTAGCAATTTACGATTAATCAAAAACAACAACCAGTCAAAAAGAAACCGAAAATCAAATCACCTTTAACCCGAAGATTGTAGAAAATTTCTCTGTGTAATATTTATCTTGAAAAGGTAACTCTATACAAAATATATAATTCCTAAAATAAGCATACTTATAGTTTATATATCTTACATATCGTAAATGAGACAAAGCCACTTTTCCCTCTCTCTCTCTCTGTCTCTACGAAGGCATCTTAAATATTTAAAATACGTCCGTTAGAGACATAATATCGAAATATACCTGTACAAGCTATTTTCACTACAATAAACTATGTAACCAATTAGATACACCAAGTTATTTCGTAACCGCTTATCTAAGCTTTTCATATATTAATCGTGTGCGTTTGCTCGGCATTATTAGTTGATAATTTGTCTTCACTATTTATGACTCTCAAAATCTCTACCTTGTGAAGATATCCTTGGGTATCATATAAAGCGATCTGAAAAAAGACTACGCGACCTAACTCTGAAATCATCAAAATGTCCGGTTGAGCAGTTTTCGTAGCTTCTATAATTAACTGAAAATTCTCTCTATTTTGTTATCTAACAGAGACGCGAAAAAACAGAATATATGAATGACACCTATATTGAATTATCGTTCCGACAAGTGAGTCTGCTTTTGAAAATAGGTGAAAGGCACATCGCTGCCTCACTGTTTATATAACAGTAATAGAGACTCTGAGAAAAGGACAGTGATAGCTTCTGTTATCACGCGCGCACTAGCAAATTATCTGTGCTTGAGACGAGTTCAATGCTATTGCACTATTGTACAAACGGGCAAGCCAATCCAATTATGTTCTACGTATCGACCTAGCAAAAAAGTAATACCGATTAAGATTAGGTATCGGCGCTAAGTACGATTCTCTGTGCATTTTTGACGAAAAAAAAACCGCATATTACGAAACGAGTGTTAATGTTCATAGCAATTTCCTATCAACTCGTTTAGGTCCCTAGGGTATCATTTACAGATAGTTACTATTACAAATAATAAAACTTTTACGTCATCGTTACCATTGACGATTTGGGAATATGTTCATCATATTTGTAAACGTTCATCAGATTGTTAAATACAGTTCAGTTTTTGTTACAGGATACCTATTGCAAAGTTCCCTTCTCCGTGGCTATCCATAGAACGTTCTCTATGATAGATTTGCAGCGGTAGCGCTAGCAACGGCCTCCTGATGAGGCCGCCGGGAACTAGACCACTGCTCACCTGCGCGCTGTGTCGATTTCTGCTTTGTGTTTGGCGGTTCTACAACAGCTGACAGCGTTCGCTCCACCAATCAGCGGAAAGTTGTTCAATACTGTGAAACAAACGCTTTCTGCTGTTAGAACTTATTGTCGGATATCCATGAAACGTTACCAGATTTTATGTAGTTCATACACTTTGACTTGTATGTCCCTTTATGTTAATGACGTCTGTGCATCTTCAAGCAGTTCAATTATCCAGGATAGTCTCCGATTCTCTAGAAAGTCTGCCTGTCGAAACTATACAGTGGTTCAGAACGGCTTTTCCTTTTTCCATAGTATCTAACCGACTGTTAAGACAATCTTCTCATCTAAAAACAGCTGAGAAGCGAAGATCCGTCGTTTCGAAGTGTTTTCGTCTAGTCCGTGCGCAAGGCTCAGGGCGACCTGTCAAATAGTGTCGAGTGACACTTTTTCCATGGATATCGGTGGCTTTACTTATTGTGAACTGACACGTAAATAGTATTAACTTGCCAGTGTACATTATTTAATATCTACAGAACAAACAGAACTTAAGTGTGCACCTGCTGTGACCGAACTACAGTTGCAGTCCTATGACTGCAATAATAATATTAGTTTAATCGAAGGAGGGCTGCCGAAAATAAAGAAAATTGTTACGAGATCAAAACATTTCAACGTTCCAACAGCTGACAAACACACTGTGAGAAAAATGCATGGTCGCCTGAAGGACTATTATATGAAGGTACTGTGCCAGTGCTATTCAGATGATGGTCGTATGCTCGTGTGCGGGAATAATTATGGCGAACTGATATTGTTTGATGTTGAAAAAGCCCTACGAGACGATGGAAGTCGTCAGGATTCGACGGCGGTTCAAAATGGAGGAAGCTTTTCCGGAGTGGCCTCTGCGTCCTCGTCAACGACAACTTTAAAAGATTCCCGAGTACGAACGCAGGTTTCCAGCGGTGCCCTGTATTGTTTAGCATCGGCTGGCGAGTACCTGCTTGCAGGTGGCGTAGGAGAAGTTCTTGCTTTGTCATGGTCGTCAATATTGGAAGGCCGACTTGAAGTTGACTGGGCTCTACGGTTGCCAATGCACAGCGGGCTAAACAAACCCGAAGTTAACGCACTGGCACTAGGAGATGGAAATCAACGAGCCTATCTGGCGTCAGGTGATAACAAGGCAAGTACATGTTATATTCATGATGATTATATAATCGTTATGCTTCGTATGGATGTTTATTTCATTGTTAATAGTAGTAGCATTTATAATTATAGTTATGTGTAGCCGGTCTATAGCACTCTATAGCACAAGATAAATATGGCATAACGATTGCTGAGTGTGGAAATATTTTTCAGCAATTATATTTTAATAATCCACTTCATCGGGGTACTTGTTAGAGTGCCACGACTTGCTTAACGTGAAGTTAATAAGATATAGACAAATATATAGGTGACTTTTAAATTATAGGGCGAACTTTTTGTTCGAATCTTAATAAATAATCTTTTATTTGTTAAAGTAATAAAACGTATCTAATTTATAATTAAGGTTCTAAAACGCAGTTGCTCTTTCAATGTTAACAAATACTGGAAGCTAATTTTCTTACCTGGTGTTTATCCTTAAATAAAGTTTGAATTTTTCAACACTAAAACTAATTTAAGCTCAATTACACAATTACAGGTACATTCGTTCGAGCTAGAAACCCGCCAATTGTTGGGTTCTCTTGAAGAACATCAGGACTATGTGCATGGAGTTGCTATCAATCGAACGGAGAGCGAGTTGTATTCAGCTGGCGAAGATGGCACTGTTAAACTGTGGGACCTCCGCTCACGAAAAACTGTTTGTTCAGTCGATGTAAAGAAGTTTGAAAAGTTGAGGTAAAAAAAATAACACTGGATCTATTTAAGTTGAGAATTTATTAGTAAAGCTGGAAAAAAACTGGCGTTGATGGAGTCGTTTTTCTCTATTTTAGTCTCTGTATATTACATGTTTAAAATCTACTCCCATGGGTCGAAGTTCATCTATAACGAAGAAGTGGCCGTATGACTGAGTTGATGTTTTCGAATATGCTAGGTGGAAATAATTTGGAGTCACTTTAAAAAATATGTAAATAGAAGAATTGCATCTTTGACTAATATGACCCTATTTGTTAATCGAACCAATTTAGACAAAGCTGGTAGCTTTTTAATCTCTTTGCGGCGATCTACTATTTTATTACAGCACTATTAAATCGATTGCAGATCGCGTAGTGGAGCCTCTTGGGTTGGGGCCGTAGCCCTAGATCGCTCTGAAGAGTGGCTGCTTGTCTCTGGTGGACATTTGCCCGCCGTCCTACACACGAAGTCAATGTCACCCACAATTGTATTCGGAGATGTTGATAATGATTGTTATGTAGCGACATTCTCCAACGATCTCGTATGTATTCATTCTTGCATATTCCCACAGGCTGAGGCTGGCAGGCTAATACTGTATAAATAGTATATAGGTGTGAATATTGTATCTATTGAAAATTTACTGACAAGTTCCATATATATACTATTATATATAATTCAAGGGCTGAAGTTACTCTAATTGGTAGGAGTTGTCCAAACCAATCAAATAAATTAGCGCATGCTGAAACATATGTCGAGTAGAACATATTTTGTTTTTTTGAATGATTCTCTGTAACATATATAACTTTTTTAATAATTGTTCCTAGTATTTGGGAAAGATCTGGTGATAGCTTGCCATTTAATAGCACTTCAATTGTAGGTATGTTTGAATATGAAAAAAAATCGTTATATCATTTATAAGCATATTCATTACCCATAGAATTGCTAGCGGATCGGTTTGCTGAAAAAATAATTAGAAATTGAAACTCTATACTAAAATTCTATTCAAGACTGTCTGCAGACGATTATATACCTGCGTAACGATCATCGATACCACAAGAACTTTTATATCGATTAGATCAAACGGATAAGTTCCTATTTTTGAAAACAGTAACTAAAGAAATCGATTGGTAATACAGATTGTTTCTTGTGCTTTTTTCATAGATCACGGTCGCTGGGGAAGGTGGTAAAGTGCATCACTATACGTTATCTGGCGAACTCCGAGCGGCTGTCCCATCATCATCGGCTGCCGTTTACTCTGTTGCAATGCACCCGCAGAAACGATGCGCCTCAACTGCTGGAGCCAGCAATAAGATTGATCTTAGTCGCAACCTCATGTACAACGACCTCGTACTCACTGTTTAGACGCTGTCTGTGAGTACACAGATTGGTCTAAGATAAAAGGACGTTGATATTATTTGGCCATACAGATCGCAAAAGAAATGCAAAAAAGATTATTAAGGCGCGCATCATAGAGGACTGAAATATTATTAAGGTCCCAGCTCAACGAATCAACCGGCGTTTATTCGTTGTTAAGTATTTTCGACCGCGAACGGACCGTCAACTGCTTTTCATTGGTGGATATATGTGTGGACGCATCGATGACAAGAAATGGCCATAAAATTAATATTATTTTCTGCTCTGTTACACCACAATAATAATATTAAATAATATTATATTCATTTGTAATTTGCTGCATAGCACCCCACTTCGCGACGCAAAAGCAGCAGCTTGACGCAGAGTATACATACGATGACAACAATGATTGTACTAGATAGCTTAGTAGAAAAAGAATTGCCTATATAAATATATGAATGCCCGCTCGCTGGGTAGGCGACCGATAATAGCGGAGGCGTAGCGAGCATGTATACGCTGTAATTTAGACTCGGTTCTTGAATGATCTTCGTTCGGTTTTTGGCGTCTCGGATACTTCACAAGTTTTTTTTGTTAGATCATATTGCCCTGCTACTAAGCGGCTCTTGTATTAATTATATATTAATAACATGGGAAAACAAGCTGCGGCTCCTGGAGTCGAATGGTTGGTGTCGCCCGCGAATCAAGTCCGACGGAAACAAACAGCGGAAAAGACCCAGAATTTGACGACGATTTGTTGTTAAATTGTGAACAGAAAGATCGATAATGAAGGACAAACAACAGCAACAATAACAAAGGAAAACAGCTGATGAAACGATCGGTTTGTGATTAGGTGAATTTGTAGATAAGAAAAAAATACCTATGGTCATTATTATTGTTTGACAGGAAATTAGAGAACATGAAGTATGTCCTGTTTAACTTGTTCCCTATGAGTTGCCATGAACTGTTTAGCCACGTCTGAGCATTCGCTAAACTGGTCACCCCATGAATAATTCAAATAATGTTAGCGTTTGTTGTTTGAAACGATGCTACTAACTTGTCGAATGACGTAGGTTATGTGAAGTAATTAATAACAACACTAATGATATTGAGCGTAATCTTAATGAACAAGGAGATAATAAAATGGAAGCAATGCAAACGGAACTGCTATTATTATTGTTATCATTATATCATTGTTACTATTAGGTAATATGATATAATGATAGGAGCTGTTTAATGAATTAAAAAATTTGAATAACTTCAAATTACACATTATTAACTAACGTAATTTGGTAAATATTTACCTCGTCTTTCACTACTAATTATTATTAAAGGTGTTAGCAGATAATAACGAGTTTAGAGGTAAATATGTCGTTCGATGGGAAAAAGTAACGTTTAGTGAAAGCGATAGTATTAGTGGCGTTTATCGAAAATCGAAGAAAACAGCGGGTAAGGAGGCTTTCAACGAAACAGCAGTTTGCTACTGATGTATTCAAATCGAGAGACTGGACATAAAAGAGGGCATAATTATAGCATTTTAAACTGAGGAACGAGTAGCTGGGATCATGCAAGTTTCTCATCTATGGCAACGGTATATCTCAGGAATGTTTTTCTTCTAAATGTTGTGCAAATTATTTCTAGAGTATCATATGTTTTACACTCAGTTTGTTGCAAGGTCATTGTTTGCCTGTTTTTTTTTTATCGAAAACGCTTTTATTAGTTTTATAACACGAACGGCGAAGAATCTCATATTAAGCCGAGAAAGAGCGCATTGTTGTTGCATCCTTTTGTCCAAAAGAATCCTTGATTACAATGACTTATTTTTTTGTTTGAGGTACTGAGATGTAATCGCGTTTTTGTCACAACCCCTCAATCCTTTCTTAAAATTGTTGTACTAGTAACGAATTTTCACTTCTTTTTCTTGCTTTTTTTATTATTTTTTTCTTGCTTTTTTTCAGCTAATTCAGCCGGCTTTCTCACCTTCGAGAAGCAATAACTTATAAATTGAACGTTGACTTTCTTGCCTCTATGGTTATTACTTTCTAACGATAATTAGCCTTAAGTCCTTGATAGCTAAGCATTTGATACAAGTATTGCTAAATTTCGTGCGCCATTGGTGCCTAGCTCAAAAATTATTCAAAATTGATAACCCCATGAATAGCTCTGGATAATCTATTATTATACTTCTGATGAATATGTTAAGTTCGTGTAGTTCGGGTGCCATAGAGGTATGTTGCGAACAAATTGATTATATTGCTTAAATCAAAGATCTCCGGCTATCTAAGTTATCCCACTGCGCCAATATGGACACTAAATTATTATAGTTAGCAAATTTTTCAACACTGGGCTTTGGTTAACGTAATTCAAAGTAGCGTTTAGAAATTAGCCCGTATATACAGGGTGCCGAAAAAATGTATACACTATTTAATGAGACATAACTATTAACAATTAAGCAAATTTATTTTGATTTGCTATTGCAAATATGAAAATATAATAGAAGTACAAGGATAGCACCGCAAGAAGTTTCATGCAAGTCCACTTACGCGACTTACAATTAATCGGATAAAAAATGTAACAAAATGATGGTTGAGACTCAGATCGCACCAGTTCGACGATCTTAATTATGATTCGCTACGAATTATATTTAGACGTGCATCGTTTGGGGTCTTTTATTTTTTGTGATTTGGGATACGGCCGTGTACATATTCGTTCAGGCTTTTTAAATGCGTGTTATCTTCATTAGCGAAAGGATCGCTTTCATGACCACGAGCATACAAAGCGCTGTCGGAGAGCAAATTATATAATCTTTAGTAGGAGGGTTGATATATCGCATGGAATAAACCACGATGCGAACAGAATAAATAGGGACGGTTCATTATTCGTTGCAACTGGTGGCATCACAGATATCAGAAAAACGACCACGGTCTGCCAGAGCCATGAAATAGTTTTACACTTCCACTGGATATTGATACGGCTCACCTGCGGGCTGCGTCGCTTCTTAAGATAGTAATGGGTCGTCAAACAGATGCCATGATCCGAAGATCGAATCTTTCGCAGCTATGTAATATGAGGATGTGCAGAGAAATGCTTAAACCCTAGCAAGTAGAAGAGCCAGATCGACACAATGATGCAATATATAGAACTGGTTCCGACGGCGTGATAATTAATAGCCTGCGACAGACTGCGATCTCGGGAAGATTTTCACTTTATTTCTCATAACAGTATTCCTCACTATTTCTGTACTATTCCTCAATAGAAAATAGGTGGATATCCTTTGCCCAGCACATATGGAGACTTTTCATATTTCCACGCGGTTTATTTTAGGTCTCTTACTGACCTTGTCTGACGATTAAATAATAAAAGTGAAAAGTCTACTTAAAGTGAAGCCGAAATCTTTGCATAGCACAAGTGCTGTAATGATACAGATTTTTACTGATTTGAGATAATACAGATAACGAATACATACCCTTTCGAAGTGATCGAAAAGTGGATTAGCTTTAATTAATTTTGATTCTAAGAACAGTTTATTATTGTAATACGAACAGTACTATTTTTATGGTGACATCATTTTTTTATGTGTATTTCAGTGTAATAATTTCTTGTGTGTTTTCTGGATGTGTTCAAGTTATTTGATTATGTTAAATAAGTGTTTCAAATTTTACGTTCGTTTATTGCAGTTAAGTATTGCTTCAAACGGTTGACGATTTCGGCACAAAACGAAGCATGCGTCTGTGAACGCACGGTTTCGAGCCTAAACCAGGTCTCACGACTATAAGTTTGGTAGACAAGCACGTTACCACTGCATCATTAGGGAAATTTGACAGTATTGACGTGGGCATTATACGCATCATCCCACTGCATCTATAATACAAACTGGATCCCTCGCGGAGGCATCTAGCCACTGAGTTAGGCATTCATCCTTCTGCTTATCACTTGTATCATGTGCATGGCAGACTTTTCAATAAGTGTTTTGAATCTTTTAGTAAGTGCTCTGATGATGCCCATCGAAGCAAAATTGAACAAAAATCTATTTACCACGGTTGATATACTCTCATATCACCTCTGCCCCCTCATGTTTGGCTATCCATTCTGTAGTATGACTAAGGACCTGCCATGTCGTTTCGTAAACCTGTTGGAGAAACGCCAAGTAAGTCCAACAAGACCTACTCCGGTTAAATTCTTATACACCTAATAGGTCATTCCGGAAACTTGTTCATATAAACAGAATAATTAGAAATGCTAAATAATGGAAAAAAATAGTTTTGTTTGAATAGCTTTGTTCTACTTGAATAATCTGGACAACCGCGGAGAATATTTTTATGGAAAGCTTTTGCACCAAGAAACTTCCATAGTAGTGCGGTCCAAAAAACCAGCAGCTGTAACAAAATATATCTCCAAAAATAAAGGTGTTATGAGAAACGTAGGCGATACATAGTGTACATAAAATGTGACTAACTAGTCAACTTACCACTAGACAATCATTATATAACTAAAAGCGTCCCAATTCTTCTCACAGCTTCCAAATGCCTGGCACTAACACTGTTCTCACAATTCAGTCTTCTCGATCGTTCCTCGAAAAAATTATGATTAGAGAGTTCTTGTTCTGTAATTATTATTGTAGCCTCCTGCTAATTTACACCACAAATGATACCAAGAGTGCCACTAAAGGGGTAATGTTACATTGTAATATGGCTAAGATATTTGGTTAATACCGATCTTCTTTAGGGAATCATGATCAGGGATAGGAACGAGAAAGTAAGTGACTGTTTAGAATAGCATTCAGTTATTATTCAGATAATGTAAAACCCATCAATATATTTATAGGCACATTGTATATGCGAAGATTTTGTCAGTCTATTACGTTCGAAATTCTTTATATCGTTGGATACGAACGGTCGCTTAAAAGCATAAAGAATAAGATATGTGACATAAAAGATCAATATTACGTAGAGGCTTTAAGTCAAACACAATACAATAACTTATACATGAATCTGCCCCGTGTTGTTTTTTTATTTTCAATAATATATATAAAGTACAAGAGCATTTTTAGTTAAGGAGCTTGACAAGTATATATATACAACTAGAGTCAAGTCACTAAGGATCAATTACCTCGAATAAATTCAGGTAATTTAGGTACAGAATAATCTGTTTGAGTTTAAAGTAATAACTTGTACAAGTTAAATCGAGCTAAATTTCGTCAGGAACGTTAATTTCATCTTTGTTATAAGAACAATCACTCACCTACAAAGACACGAAGACCCGTGTGAATAAAAGCTACTGTTGCTTGTTGTTCTTGTTGACGCGGCAATCTAATTAGAAATAGTAAATCATAGCATGTGAAGACACTAACGCGCGCACTAAGTTTCACAACAAATTTTGAAGTAATTTCAGCTCCATTTTTGTTTATGCAGACTAGTATTTCGATCATAGATTGTTGTATAACAAACGAACTTTTTGAGTATTATGGAATCATATCCTCTATCGGAGCAATGGGTTGTTTGAAATACCTTCTCCATAAATTAATGAAATAACCTACAAATTTTTCCTCGATAAATATTTTCAATTACAAAAATAGTATATAAATAAAGTATGAATAAAGTAGCTACTTAATAAAGTCAAAGACAAACCATTTAAGGATCATGCAAATAAATATAAATTACTATATTATGAATATATTAATTACCTTCTTAACCTGTTAGAGCGATAGCATTAGTCAAGGAGATCTCTAGAACTAATTAGCAAACGAATTTTGGAAAAATGGTAACTGAGGCGTACAGTTTCAGCACTTGTCCTCTTAATATTAGAGCAAATAAAATCATTTAAATACAAAATATCTCTTTTGTTTCATTTTTAAATTATTTTGGTGATTATTATATTAAAATAGTGTTATAGCAAAATTATTTTGCCTGCTCTAATAGGAAGCTCTCAGGAAGACGAATGCTGAAACTATATGGCTCAGTTACGCGTATTTTTCCAACATTCGTTTACATTTATTATATTTATTATTCACTTATTTTTTTTACTCTTGACTCGGTCGATATAGTTACCTAGGCATTAACAAGAATTAAATTCTTGTCTATTCTAGTCTTTGATAAAGGTGCGTAAGTACATATCAAGAAGCTTAAATTTAAGGTTAGACGCTGGTTGAAATACTTGGCTCAAACACTTACAAATGAATCTATTTCCTACAAATAATAGGCATTTTAGGTGTGTATGGTAACTACTACTTAAAAAAGGCATTCAATTATTACCTATGATATCTAAGGTCAAGCGAGTTCAGGAGTACTCCGGCTGCAGGTGTAATTAGTTGGGCCTTTTCTTGATCCATAGTGCATTTAGGTATCAGCAATTATCTAGTTGAACGCACTTATATAATACATTCAATCAGTTTAGCAGAATCCAACTTCTGCCATCGATTTTCCTCTGTCAGACTTTTCTAGCAATACGGAAAGTCTCTACTGAACCCGTCCACCTTCGTCTTCGCCATTCTGGTTGTTGCGTGCACTCCGGTGAAATAGTGAACGCAACGATGGCGGCCCTGGGTCATATTGCCACGTCTTGTGATTGCGGAGCCCTTTACGAGAAAGCTGTTCAACTCACAGCGCTGTGCGTATCTCGTTACGATATATTTGAGGAGTTTACAAGATTTAACGATCTTAACAAAAGAGCGACCGCTGTAGTTGAGCACTGCGTGAATCAAATGGCCATAATTCTTAAGGATTAAATAAAAGGCACTATGCGAAGATCAGTGGCTGCTTTGAAGAAATCGCACAGTCATAGTATCTTGTACTATACTGGCTGTAACCTCCAACAGGCAGAAAGTAATCTTGTCTAGTTTACTAATATATTTCGCTATGTATAAATTTAACGACTGGCTAATTTTCATTTCAGTAAACATTTACGATACTTATAACGCGAGGCAGGAAAAATGAAAACTTTTTGCTTCGACCGATACACTAAAATTTCCTCTACCCTGCTAAGATTTGGCTAAAAAAACAACACGAGAAATGCATCGTTTACAGTTTCAACGGGAAAGCTACAGAATAAAAAATAAATACAAAAAGCCAATACTGTTTGGCAGAGAAAGTTGGCTGGTGCAGATAAATCAAATTTATTTTGTTTGACAAATAGATTGTATAGATCAAATTATTTCACCGGTGTTGTTAATATGCGTAGATATGTGCAAACAGACTATCTTTTGAACTTCAGGCTAAGAACTGTTACAGATTCGAGTGCTAAAAACAACCCAAGATTGAAGAGATAATAGTAAGAAACACACTCACATGTAATGTTTGATATATATACATATATTTTACCCTTTACTATTTCCACCAAGTTGTACTAGAAACTAGTTGTAGTTATATTATGTATAGACAATAGACGTTCTTTACATTGAAATTACACACGTGGAACTTAATCTTTTCATCACGCCCCCAACCCGTGTTTTTCAGAAACTATTTTCATACAATTTTGTTCTGCGGCTTTTTTTTATGTAACCTTTGTACTTATTGGAACTAATTGTGGCCCGTGACGTTTTTAATATCATAAACAGTACGTTTCCTTTACAGGGCTTGCGAAGGTGCTCCAAGGAGGTATGATTTTTGTTTTCGAAAATTGTCGCTGTGAACTACAGTAGTGAAATATTTGGGTACTATTGCTACCACTAGTCACTAACACCGGGAGTGGTCCAGGTTCGAAACTTATTATGTTTCGTTTTAGCTTGCAGGAGCCTGCCAGCTGAAGTAATGCCAAATGGCTTTAGTAGCGAATCAAGAACGTTTTTTTTAGGTTCGTAATTCGTCGTAGACATACTTCGTTTCCTACTGTTGGAAAAAGCCTAAAATAGATTTGGAGTGATGCTCAACTGAGGCAATACCGTACATAAAACTCGAAATATTTGTTTTCCAAAATAGAGCAAATCGCACGTACGTGCAGATATATTCTGTTGGAACACATGATTTCCTGCCAAGATAAGCTAAGTGGCTAGATTTCCACTCTTGGATATAAAAAATATACCTCATCATTATTTGGCATCGGCGCCGACTCAGAACTCTGCATGATATACACGCTATCATTTCGTATATTGTTGGGTCGCTTTATGTTCATTAAGTATAGGAATTTGGCACTCCCAAAATGCACGTTGTTTTCGAATTTGACCGAAAACATTGCGCTGAATTTGAAATTTCGTTCTCGCTTGTAAATCGCCTTGTGTTTACTTTTTTACTCTTTTCTAAAGCCGCAGCAATGTGCTATTTCCTTGTGGCAAGTCCGGATAGCTTATAGTTAACTTCAACCTATTTAGACTCTAGCTGCATCGTATAGATTACATAATCAATATATGAAAAGATATAATAAGTAAGAGCATATGAGAAGCATTTATATGCTAAGAGCTATTTATACTTTAAGGAAAACCTCGAGAGCTGGCTGGTGTTATTTCAATTCGGTTCGTCCAATACGGCGCGGAAATCATTAATAAATTTATAGTATTTCTGAAGTTCGGGTAGTTGACATACTAACGGTAGTTCTGTGTGACGATTATTACACAAATCAAGTAAGTTAAATTTGTATGACGAAGCTCACTGACAGCTTGCAATGAATGTATATTATTCAACCTTGCTTTTCGGGTTTTTTTCTAATACTGTTGTCACCTCTGTGTTTTCCTAAGTGAAACTTCTGAAATGATATGATTAAATAAGATGTGTTGCCAAAGCGACGTTGCTATAGAAACTGCTACAGTTTGCCTTTGGAAGCAATTCAGGTCTAGGCCAAAAAGCTAGTTATATGTACGTCGCGTCTGAAGGCGGCTCGGAGAAATCGACACTGTACTCGCTCAATAACGTCATTAGCAAACTTTACGACACTAACTAAGTTCATTTGAGAACTACAATGCTTTTGAAAAAGTTCACTGCTCACTATTTTATTACGCAGAGTATGAATTTCTACATCTGTCGTGTATTATTCTCCGTTACCGCACTGTAAACTACGAGCTGAGTTAGGCGTAACTTGTAATTTAAGCATATATTTTTAGCTTTAAATTTTAGAATGTTTGTTACAAAAGCGCCGATTTTCCGAGTGTAAAAAAACATCAAGCAGCTAAAACCTAACACATAGATGAATACTCATCGTTACTCGTTCCATTCGCTTCCATGCGCCAGTTCGTGATTAATTTCTTGACAATTTTATAAGCGGTAATAACCTGTTATTCGGTTGCTAATGCCACAATGTAATCATAGGGTTTGCTAAGTAATCGATTTTCGTTCTCTGCTAGTTCATGAGGAAAGTCGTATGATAAAAACCACTGGCTTCTGGTTGATCAGGTAAAGAAAAAGTCCTTCGAACTTCTAGCGAAGTCTGGGCCTGAAATAAGATTGAGCTGGGTGAGCCCAGCTATTCATCTCTAACCCGACTAACTTTATATACGTAATCAACTACAGCATCGTTTACATAACGGAATCGATTTTTGCCTTTTTCTGTACAGTGATTTGTTCAGTCAAGTTGGACTTGAACTTTAGTTGGCAAACTAGGGCGAAGGCTTTCCGCAGAACTTGTGCAGTTATCATATTTAGACCTGTTCGGCACTCGATTCATAAACACAACGGCACTCTGCCGGTCATAGATCAGAGGCGCAACGAACGAAACGACATGGCTCGACTGTTATTTTAAAGCCGACCGTTGAAACAAAATTTTTTATTTGCAGTAATAATTCTATCACGAACAACTAGTACTGCCGAACCATTTCATACCGGCAAAACGGCCAGCGAAAATCAGCACGGTCTCAACGCTCACACCTAGTAATACAGAAAAAAATTGGTAAAGTAATAAAATCGAACCCAGAGGCAAGAGCTGAGAAACGAGTTAGTCCCAGCGACGTGTGGTTTACTTTTCTGGGCGCGGTCGCTCGATTAAGAACCGTACACGAAAGCTAATATACTTAAAACACAGTGAAATAAGAGGAAACAGGCTATGTTCGAAAGTCTCGTATAGGTTTGAACAGAAGCTAAGCATGTAGGCCTCACCATAAAATATAAATGAGCAAAAAAGGAAAAATATGATATGCCAATTAAGTCCACAAAAACACTTGTGTAAGGTCTCGAATATAAGATGCACTCTTATGTTTCACAATTGAAATCTGAATGAAGTGCGCGACTTGTCTTCGAAACCCGTGATCTTCTCTGTCTTGTGGGTTATTTCCATACACATTTATGGGTTTTCACGTTAGCATACATTGTTATGGTTTGGTCAAACCGAAGCTGTCACCTTCGTCTTTTCAACAAGGAAAAAACGCTATGAAATCCTTGAAAGTTGTGCACTGCAACTCTCTGATCGTCTATTAGAACTTGGCCTTAAAAAGCTAGGCCCGGCGACGGGATACGAAAAGCTTTTATGGGAAAAAATAATCGAATTAAACTACAGCGTATACATCCTTTGATATATTCTGAGAAAATACTTATCATGAAACTATGACAACGACTTCAACAACAACATGTTCAGTTGAGAATATTAATCGCTTATTATCACCTATTATTGTACCTTTCATTTGATGAAAAACGAAGTCCTACACTATCAAAACTGAATCAGCTATGACATGTAACAGATTTCGAAGACGCTTCGCCTGATACAAATGAAAATTTCCTGGTCTTTATTGACACATGATAACAGTGCGCAGCTCGTCGCATACGTCGGTAGACTTCATACTAATAAGTTCCATTCACTAAGTTGATCTAGATGTTAGCCAAATCCACTAATGAGACACGCGTCGCACCCACCCGATCACTGCGCCGCACTGCCAACGATCGCTGCAAACGTAAAGTAACAAGGTGTCCACACGGTTCGATGTTGTCCTGAGTTAAAAAAAAAACAGTCCTTGTTTTTGGCTTTGATTGACAGGTTAGTACAAGCGTGGCACTAGACTCAAGCTGTCATTTGCTTGCTTGTACTTACTTAGTTCTATGATGTGTTTATTATTATTATTTTTTTCTTTTTATAAACAATTGGTCTACGCTGCAACAGCGACTCGAGCTGACACAAACGTGCCACCATCTTTTGTGGGGCGAAATCAGCGACAACGAACGCACATTTCTCTTCACGCTCGACCTGGTTGGATTGCAGTGCGATGCTGTCGACATTCCGCTCCGACGAAACCCATTTCGCAATTTACTGCTTGCACAAGGGCGGATGGGGCAGACCTGAGGGTTCAAAGGGCAGCTGTTCACGATGGAGTAATTCCTGCTGCCGCAGTTCCAGCTGTTGTTGTTCAGGTAAAAATTGCTGGTGTTGTTGGTAAATCAGTGCGTGATCCTGATAACTGGTTGTTTTTACGCATCCATAGTCCAACCCGTTGGGCAGAGGAGCGGCGAGCGTCTTAGGGTTAATATCTTGGCGAGAATAAAAAGGATAATCGAATGATTTTCCAGATTGGATGAGAAAACTGGGGGACCAATTGTCACTCGAGGTTGTACGTTCTGATTCGACGCCCAACAATTGTTCACGACGTTTTAAAAAGAGTTCTTTTAACTCACGATAAGATACTATGTATTTGGGCTGGCCTCCGCACAGGTCGATCTTCTGATTGGTGCCGGCGTCCAGCTGGAATAGGACAGTCGCTGGAATTAGTTAATGCTACACATAGATGTATTAAAGAGGGATTATCTCAGATTGATAATTAAAGGCGCATACCGTCAGCAAAGGCTCTTCCACTGAGCTCTTCCGTTGATGAATATAAACTAATTTAGTAAAAATAGCCGAGTATAAAGCTTTTAAGAATATCATAGTAATAATAAAGTATAGCAAAATTAAATGTATCATATTTATTTTATTTTTAGTTTCATCTGGAAGAGTGAATCTTGTCAACTCATCATATCACCCCGTTCTTGTAACCAGCTCAAGACTGGGTAATTTAGTTTGTTAATAAATATTATATCTTCTCATTTAAAACTCTAGCAGCGATCCATACGCACGATACGAGGAAGATAGTTAGATAGGTACAGTAAGTCGAAAGTGAATTTTCCTTTTCGCTAGCTTTGAATTTATGCGGTCAGACATTATTATTATTATTATAAAAACCTCGTTGATATTTGGAAAATTCTTTAAAGTTACACTTCTTTTGCTCTTGCTTGGACCCATTAAACATGCTAACCCATCCTCTAACTGCCGTATCAGTTTGACAGATAATAGCTTTGAGTTCATCTCTATATACCGCTAATTTTTTAGATCAGTTAGCTCAGGTCTTGTCCCATACGGGCTGTTCCTTTGCTAGCGAACAGGTTTTTTTTCCGATAAACAGGAGATCTTTCTTTGGGCCTGATTCTCCTTTTATTTACAGATTTCTACTTGTTTTCCTTTGTCTATTTGTCATAACGAGAAAAGCAAAATGTTCTGCTTCGCATCGTTACAGTGCTTAGAAACAGGGCCATAGGAGTGACTTCCCGTTTTACGTTCAAATAAACACGCACAGCAGTATCGAGCTACGCTAAACGCCCGGGTTTAGCCCAGGAACTACTACATTGTAAATTTGGTCCCGAGATAGTCTATCATTCTTTCCTCATTGGCATTAATCGTCTGTTATGGTTAACCCTTTCTGTTTAATACAATTACTGTAATACGATCAAGTAGTCTAGCTAAAACAGTGACGTCTTTTATACTTCTGTCAAGATATTCTGTTCTATAAAAAAAACGTGGCTTATACATTCCTCGAAACACCAAACTCTGCAGTTTTAGTTTTCAGCTTTTGATAAATAATGAACGAGTGCGATCTTAACGAAGATGCCATGTAGTCTTTGACCATAATGAAACGTTCCTGAGCAATTTCATTTTAATAACCGCTATGAAATAAAATCTATACTATTCGATAAATTACTGTTTTGTCTTTTCAAGCAGCTGACTTTAAATTCCTATTAAACGATACGGTGAACTCTTCTCTACAAATCCATCTCCTCATTCAACAGTCCACAAATCCCAGTCGACTTCGAGCCCGTTGTCAGGCAATCACTTATATTCTTAAGAGATAGTTAGCACGTTACTTCTACACCATACATCGGCAAGAAGCGTCTTGCCCCCCTATTTATGCCATTATGAGAAAAGTTCTGATCGTGAAACTTTGTCACCCTTTAGAAAGTGGACGTCGAATTTCACGATGCCCTGTGTATCTACCAACCTGGTTGAGAACGCTGCAAGTGTCATTTATAGCCTTTTGCCTGTGTAAGAATTCACCGAAAAGCTGAATTAGCTTGTTCTCTTCATAACACAGATGCACGTAACGTGGACCGTTGCCGCTTTTTTGTTGCGGGACAAGCGGCTGGGGCAGACTGTTGTGAATCACCTGTTCGACTGTATACTACAAAAGCAGCGAAAACATCAGATCGAAATAGATTCATGAAAGCTAGAAAACACAGCCATCGTAATGACAGCCATAAGGACGGTGTGAGAGATTGCATTCAATAATAATAAGGCTATTAAAGCGAATTTATATACTCTGTCTTATGCTCCATAATCTAGTGTCGTTCTCTGTTATAATTACATGACCCGTTTGCTCGACGCGGCCACTGACGCGTGTCCTCTTAAGTGGCTTATTCTGATTCTAAACTTAACAACAAGTAACTGAAGATAACCAAAATGAGCATTTGAAGACGTTTAAGATCTTTGCGAACTGGTTAGCATAACAAAGCTCGTCTGCTAACTCAAAGAGGACGAAACGCAGCCAATGAGAAATGCAATGGCCGCTGCTAATAGAGTAAAATCTGAGCTTCAAAGTGCCATCATAAATGTATCTTTGCAAAACTAGCAAATCATCCTAAACGACACAAACTGCAACATAAAACGCGTAATGATTTTCCTCGTGTACATATAACATGCAGGTACCTGAGAGACTCGAAAAAGAGATCCATAATTCGATACATGAATGATGATTCCTAAGAGATATTTTTAACGCAGATTCTCCGTTCGAGGTACCACATATACTAGGCATATACACCTCTCTAGAACTGTTTGCTTCTTCACTGTACCCTTACGTAAGCACGGAAATTTAGCCGAGTTTTTCGAACTCTGCTAAGCCTATAACTCAGTGTAATCACCTATAGAAGATTTTTATAGCCCTTGCAGGTTTGCTTTATAGAGAATCTAACAATTGGTTCCACTTTTCCAGGCATTGCCTCACGCTAAATGAACGCTAACTACTAAAACTGGATTCAAGTTCGCGCAATAAGGAAACGGTGAAAACTTGCTTGAAGCCGGAAGAGTCGATCGTTATCTATCACTCGGCAGATCTCTCCTTCAAGAACATCTTTATGCACTTGAACGTTATCCAACTGATCGAAAACATGCAGCCCGAGATGTGGCATTACGTCGCTCACGTTTCCGATCTGGCCTGAAGATGCCACAAAATTAAAGGAAGTATGCATAAAAATTTCAGATGCAGAACGCTGCGTCTCGTGGCAGGGCATTGCGTTATGATTTTGGATAGTTGCTTTATATAATGGTCTGTGGTTGGCCAATAAACATGGACGTGTTCCGTAACTGTTTACTTTCATTGCATAGTTTAACGTGTGAAGCAATAGCAACGAGCAGGTAAGAAACATGCTCCTGATGTAATGTACTGCTTGTGTAATGGTTTTTTTTTTAATACATGCATCGTCACAGAGAATAGCATTCAAAGGCATATTTGGTTTATTTACAACTTATTAAGGGAGAAAGTTGGTTTAACGTTTTAAGTACGTTGAAATAAGTGCGCAGAAATCGATTATATAGATCACAGTTAGTACACACTTACCAGATATCAACCGGTCGGCAAAATTCTCGAGCTCAGCCGATGGTGCCTTGAGGTGCCTGATCATAAATAGCACAACTTCGCCGAGATGGACCAAATCGTTTGCCTGAAGCTCTTGAATTTCCACGTATTCATCAGCTAAATACTGATGGGCTCTCACTTGTTTATAGTCAGCGACCTAAACATTAAGCAAAACACGATTCTGTACGTTACATTTCTAGTACACGGTGATCTCATCGTTTATAGGTGTTCATTCCGAGAGCCAAATAAATAACCAGAACACGTGTGCGTTGTAGATTACTCTCGGCTTTAATACGCGATCTACGCATCTATTCAATCAGCTTAGTCACAGGTTAGGTCTAGTCAGGAGCTTTGTTGATTCCATCGCGGTCTTCGACACGGATTAGGGCCGCCCAGTGTATCAGCTGCGTTATTCAATAACCCAACCAATACATCATAATAATCATCTTGGGAAAACGAGTAGTGTCTGTTAATTTAAATACATCTGTCGTTTAGTGTATAAACCCAGTAGCAAACGATGTTAACTGGTAAGAGCGTGTGTTTCCGAAGCGCTCGTCACACGCGCTCGTTAGTTTCACTGCTTAGAGGATAAGTATCCATTTACGCGTGATAGGATCGTAAACATTTATTCTGAGCCACAAATTTGTGTTTAATATGAATGGTAATTCTTCGCGAATTTCGCAAAAGTCTGACTTCTTTCAAGAGAAGTGCCAATAAGCGTCCCCTGCCAGCTATGTCAGTTCGATTGTCTGGGGCAGCACGTGTGATTTTGCCACGTTAACGTACCTTGATAACGTCAGCGATCGCTGCACAGTTGATCCGGACAGTGCACTTATCGATGGCAGTAACTAAGATCCTCTGAGGTGTGAGCAGTCTTACTGCTAGTTTTGCATTGTGCACTGCTCGGATACCGCAGACGAGCTGGGTTGTAAACGACCAGATGACCGTCTCGCTGATTGTGTACTCCTGAAAAAAATATTGAGCAGCTTGAAATAGAGTAACAATGTCAACAAGTCAAAATCCTTCGTCGACTGAATTCTAGACATCATAATTGGCCTGATTAAGTAATTAGCGTCCACGTCGAGGCAAAAAATGTAGAATATAACTTTTCGCTGTACGTTCAATTACTTATCCGGCACTTTGTGGAAATTTAATTACCTTCTGGGTATGACAAAACTGCTGAAGTGTGCATGCGTTCGGGTGGTAATCGTAGGCGAACATCACCGATTTCTCGTTTGAGCGGTAAGATGTCGTAATCGAGTAGAGCTGGGTGACGTTTGGATGGCTAACCTACAAAACGTACATAAACTTTGCTTAAATTTAAATCAGATTGCATCTGTGTTGTAGAAAAGAGTCTGTTAGACGGTGGCGTGTATTAGAGTTAAAGTTATACGAACTTCTAAGACAACATTAGTCAGGAATACTTGAAGTGGTTTCCGTTCGAAACCGATCATGAAGAGACGATCCGTTTCGTAGTGCCGAAGGGAACCGCCAGCGGTCTAGAGCAGCCATGTTTAACCATAAAATTCGAAATCGTATTGGAATCGATACGCTTTGCGAACTTGCGCAGTCTCGCGATAAGGCCCGAAACTTATGAATCCTAATGTAACTGCTGGGTTTGTTTGTACTTCGGACACCAGCGAGCGTACGGGTCAGCCCGGAAAGCCAAGAAGCCCTGTCACCAAAAGTTTGTTTTTTGTAGTCTGACGTTGAGTGAGAAATTTTACTGTATCCGATTCAGAGTGGAACCACAGCACCTCGTATTAACTTCACTTCTCAAGTTTATGTACACGGTAGATAAGCCATATTACTTACGCTCTCCCATCGTTCGGCGATCGCGTAGGGTAGTAGGTTTCGAAGGACAAAATCGTGGATTTGCCTCACCACGAGAGGTTTGCCAGTTTTATGGTGTCTGAAAACAATGACAAGCACGTGCAGACATGATTAAAATAAGTTGGAGTATGGTGCATTGGTTAAAGGGAGACTTTTACCGACGGAAATACACGTCTAGTATCCGACGTACTATTACTAGTACTATCGCCCATTATTAGCGTTTATTCAGTTTGTTGTTTCCACTGTTGCATTCGCTCTTCCCCCTACCGGCTGCGGGAGCAAGATCTCAACGGGAAAGGGACCCCATAGTGCCTATACATAGTAACTGATTTTGAACAAATAATCTATATAGAGAGCTTAGCAATTGCTTCAACATTTCAGAAGAAAAGTAGGCTCAACTCCACGATTACCTTGGAAGGAGTCAAATACATTGCAGAGTCGACGAAACTGAGCTTCCCCACACACGTGCATAACAAAGATGATATTCAAATACTCTTCAACCATTTATAAACGGGTATGAAAGGACAGCACGTAATTTACTGCGGAAACTTCATACAAACTTATTTAAATCGTTCATTTTGATGCGGCTTGCAAACGCAAACACGTCATCTTGCACATTTACATACTGCTAACGATAACAACTCCAGGGTTTTTCCTATTCAGTTTACCTGGCAAGAAACACTGAGTTTCGTTTGTTCTCGATAAGTCCCGGGGCCGGCTCAAGTTGATACCATAAGGCAAAGTCGTCGTAAGTTGCGAATTGTGGGGGCATATACATCGTGGATTGTTGAAGACGTAGCTGTTCTTCAACCGCCTGGACAGCACGTATATAGAAAATATGGACTATGTATCTATTCCTTCATACACGTATACAAAATGGAGAAAAAGTCTAAAAAGTTTTATTTTACGTCTGAACATTATATATATATATATATATATACATATCAAAAATTATTTCTCAACTCCTATTCCACTCGCTTTTATTCGGTACTAATAAACAGAAGTGAGAATTTGTGCACTCACCTGTTGGAAGCCTTCACGGACGAGACGCTCTGTCTTGAACAAGTTTGTATTTTTTAAGGTCACCGACATGTAGTAGGCATCGCCTGGTGTATAACCTTCTTCCTTTGCTGCTGAATCGGCTATGAGACAGGTGTGAACCTCTGTTGACAGCCACTGGATTTCGTCAGCGGTCAGCGGACTGCGCTCCGCATCCAGAACGTGCGAACCACTGTAAAAAGGACGTGCTCCTACGTCCAGACTTGAAGCCTGATCATCGATAGGCACGTTATAATAGGTTGTGCCTCCGACCTTCACTGCGACCTTCGTTTAGAATTGAGCATGGAAAATGCGATCGGTTGGACAGAGCTCAAACACTAAATTGTTTATTACAGGCTCTTATTCAACACTTACCTATAAGTTTGCACGAAGCACAGCGATTTGGTATCTATGGAAATATGGCGACGCGCATCCTTCGCTGGAACTGCCTTTGCTCTAGAAAGAGATTCCATAAATGGTGCGCATTTAATTAAAGACGAGTGAAAAAAAAAAACTTACCTGACAAACGTTAGGTACATCGGGAACGAACTCCTGAAATTCAGAGCCATAATAAATGGCAAACTTGAAAAAAGTCTGGGAACTGCGTATAGTTTTTTGTAGTTGATTAGTCGAACATATTCCTCACTTAATGTCACTTCAAAGGATTACTGTAATTTCGAATAAAACTAGCAACACAAGTGATTTGAAACCGACGACGTGGCTTTTGAGTGTATATGAATCAAATCTGAGGTGTTGAATCTAGAGACAGGATGACTTACATATCCCTCTAGAACTCTGAATATTGTTCATAGTAATTGCTGGTCAGAAGATTGTCATCATCTGATACTATACGTGATAGGTAATATGTGTTTACATATAGTGTAACATATATATTTTTGTTAGTTTAGCAAAAATACGATAAACTACGAAGTTTTACACCTTACTCCATAATTACTTGCTGGTAATATTGTAATTGACTTTCAGGACTAAATCTACGGTTGAAAAAAGACAAAGGACGTTGGCCCAAAGCCTGCCAACGACATAGATTGTACGACAAGCATAATAAAGCGTGAAGCGTAAATAAAAAGAAAACTAATGTTGTGGTTGATGTTGTTATAGCCGCTGTTGCGTTTTCTTATAATTAACGATTTTATTTTTGGTCGAGTTTACTTACGTAAGCTTGCGGCGTGCCTCGAATTGGCAGGAATTCATTGAAACCTTAATCAACTATAACTAGCTGAATTTTCTATACCATTCAACATATTTGATTCCTCGTTCACCTCGAAGGCCTACGTGCTCTTCAGGCGTGAGCATCATATCTAGTTTCTATTCAGCCTTACTTCCTTTGGACTTTAAATAGTGTTTAAATCGTATTTCATTAACTTACGACGCCAAGAGGTGGAAAATGGTGAGGATCCTCAAGCATTATATTAAGACCTGATAAGCCAGAAGCACCATTCTGTCCCGTAGCTGAAGATATGCCGTTCTGTCCTGGTCGCTTCCTACTTTTCCTCGTCTTCTTTTTCCTTTTTACAATTCGAACCTTGTCGGATTTAGAAGTCTATTAGGAAGAAGCAAAAACGGTATAAGGCATCGTGAATATTATTGTTCGTAGATAATTCGCGGTGATGCGAAAACATACAAACTCTGGTTCTTTTAGTAAAACTATATGACAAAACACTTTTTTTATACTATATGACAAACACATTTTACGACGTAATAATACAGTATTGTTAAGACATCATCACGATTATTAGTCACAGCGAAGGTGTTCATGGAATTTTTCCTGTATAATTATCCAGTTTACATCAAGTTTACACGCCTCAAAGTTTCTCTCATGTTATCTTCACTGATTTGAGTGACCAAATTTTGCAGATGAGTTTTCATTGTTATTATATGTGTAGTTATATTACTAGTATTGAAGTACAATCTGTGCTACGGCCATGAAACAACAAAGCGTTAGTATGAAGCACTGCGTTAGCTCAGGAGACACTGTAGTTCAAATACCCAAAAAGGAAATCGTTTCTGAAATGTCAGATTTTTAACGCCATTGCCGACTCGTCGTTAGGAGATAGCTCGAGAGCTAAATCGGAACATAAATATTGATTTTAAAAGCCTCTGATATTTTTGTTTGATTTCAAACAGATGTTAGGTCGAACGCATGTCAAGCGTGCATTTGAAGTATCTTGTTCAAACAGAAACATCAATAGAGACGTTTTCTAATAGTTGTTCTGGTTAAGTCCCACCATTTCGAAGGGTGTGCTTTTGGAAAAGTGGGCATTAATCGCGGTGATTCCTCTACAGTATTGTTGTGTGCCGATCTATCGGTGGACCACGCTTGCAAAGGTGCCCCCTTCTCCCTGTTTATTTTTTTTTGCTGAAGTGAGGTGCTGTTCTTAAATCCGAGTTATGTTATTCATTACAGACCACAAGTGGGGTATGATAGAAGAATCGAACCAAATGATTCAGTTCTGCACTTATGTCGACTTATTAATAAACACGTGACCGCAGCAAGAAGAGGAGACATTATCGTCACAAGCGCACACAGTGCCAGTGCCCCATAGAAACCAGTAACTGTGTATCTACAATACATCTCTCTGCGTTGATGTCAGTTTTAAGTGATCGCCACTATTCGCTTTAGACACGTCTTGACTACAACTTTTCTAAGAATACTCTAGTATTAGATCGGAATCCATTGTGAGCAAACAATTATTCATAACCTTATAAAATAGAAGGACCAGGAAGCCTGAGGAACCGAACTAGAAACTAAGCTGAACTTCATAGCATAGAAAGACGAACTATAAAATACAATATTTCGGACCTATTTCGGATTTAAACCTGTCGCGTATCGACTAGAACATATGAAGCATACCAGGAGTGAATGCGGCAACTTTGCTGCCAATCGTGAGCTGGTACAGTCCATTACGGATCCTAACGTATGCACGGCAAACACAACATCCCTTCTAGACATTGTCCTAGGCAACGAGGACTCAGTATCAAACATTGAAGTGCATTTTCACCCGATCGGTTTAGGCCACTGTTTAGTGAAATTCTGCATAGTCGGGCATATCCGTGATAAACAAGACTATCCTCAGAGATTCGACCGTTCAAAAAGAGCTTATGCTACGGTAAAACCTGCAACCAGATAGCTCGAGAGATAATGGACCAACACGTTATACACGGGCAGGAAGTATGGCCGCAGATTAGCGAACATATTTCTCAGCTGTATTTATTTCTAGAAAAAAAAAAAACTGCGCTCAGCATAATGTTGCATACCTACAAAAAGAATATAATGAAGCGGTTAAAAGAGGACGAGAAGGCCGAGAACACAGCGTTCTGAGAAGCAGTGGCTTAAAAGCAATTCGCAATTATATTTGTAAAAGAACGACTATATAGGACGCACTGAGTTTCATTGTGTGCTTGGATGACGAATGACCGCGAAGACGCATAAACACTCAGCGCTTTGTTCGAATCTATGTCTTTATCGAACGATGAAGTCTTGCGGCACTCCGGAAGGCTCCTTCTAATTTACTGTTCGTAATATGGATGTCAGCCCAGTGACGACACTTGAGCATCTGAAGAACCTGCAGACCAAAACTAATAAAACCTGGGACAGACTCCTGTCGTACTTGTTTAAAAGGCTCAAAATCTTGTTCTAGGCTCTCTCAAAATGTATTGCCTTTTCATAAAATTCAAAAAAAAAAAAAAAGTAATTTAACAGAAGCGCGTAGGTGTCGGAGATATTTCGAACAGCCCGTCGTTGTATTCGATGTACAAGAAGGGATCAAGTCCTAAAGCCATTAGTAAAAGCGCAGTATCACTATGGTTTGAATTCTACCATTACCGAATAGTTACTATTGTCTTCCTGCATGATTCCATAATCGGTTTGGATCCGGGCTGATTGAACATACAAGGAATAAGGGCTGCGAGTCAGCCGCGATCACTGAAGACCTCAATTGATCGTGCGACCAATTCGCATACGAACTACGTCAGTTGTAACGCTATATAAAAGAAAATCAACAGTCGAGCACCAACGCGTAGTGTTCAGTGGGTTTACAGACTATGACGAAGGACCGATACGGAAACGAAAATTGAATGGGCAAAGCACATAAGCATGTCGACGTGCGAAGTTACTCATTCATTTCGAAGTTTGGAAACGATCGAGACACACGGAAGATTTCCTCATGTCAAATGTTATCAGACTGATTACCATATAGGCAGTCTCCTGTGCGTTTCGCGAGAAATCATGATATAGCATGTAGGGCAAATACCATACCCGTTTTATACACTGCAACGAAAACTTTGAATAAAGTGTGTCATTATTATGGGTAGAAAATAAGATGAGACCATTACGGGCAAAGCATGAGGATGGCACACGTCTGGCTAAGCAGACGTAATGAAATGTCCGGCAACGTGTTACGTCGTGTGTTGTGCGGTAACAATATCCACACCCACTACATATTCTGTGATAACGACGAGAAAACAAATAAATAACCTGCTATCATTAACTCCTTAATTTTATTCAAAAAAGCTCTACCAAATAATCGTGTCTGCAATAAAAAAAAAGGTGTAATAAGCTGACGAGTCAGCTCAATAAATGGGTAAATTACTTACTGGTACTTAATGTACAAGTTACTGAATCGTTGACGTTATGTTAATAAGCTCCTTTACGGCAAAGCTATGAGCTTAAACTTAGTAGGGATTATACGGAACTACATGATAATGTGTGCCATGATCTATCTGGCTGGTTCTTGTATATCCCTTAATGTCTTCACTCATTTTTCGACTAGGATCCGCAATACTGAAAATTGTTTTAGTTCTTTCTTGTTCGCCAATATTCTACATATTATAGAGCTGCTTTGCGTATCCAAGTAGCACCACTTACCGAACGGCCTGATTTGTTACCATGGGACTCGGCAGCAACTTCCCTATCGTCATTGCCGTTGCCTTTTCGGCCGCTGGTCGAAGGCTGGTTCTTCATTAACTACCGTTATTAGCTAACGTGAAACACTTAAAAACGACGTTCTGTAATAGTCGTCACGAATGAAGCGTTTCGCACAACACGCCTTGTCGCCATAAAGTGTTGTGCCGATTTATATCGAACGCCACACCGTTATTGACAATTATACTAGCCGCGCTTGCAGTGCATAACGTTCCACAGAGGTTAAAGTTTCGAATTAGACGTTAGACATCATCTGCACGTTCAGAGCGTTTATCAGGATGACGTCGAATGTCTGCACAGTAGATACGGCCGACAAAGTTCATATGCACGTACAACGCGTGTTCGGCCTGGAGCCTAATGTTGTTATGCGGAATAGATAAAAGCACGATTTGGCTATGGCCTAAGCCGTCTCAGTATAAAACATCGTTGGGTCATTTTGGTGGAGATCTAAGTAGAGCCTTCAAGTTCGGCTGTTTTTACGCTTATACACTGTGCAAAAAAATACTCTTTTTCACCTACAACTTTTTAACAATTACAATATTTTTGTTTTTATCTTTGACCGGTTCTCCCTTTGAATGCCTCACGACGATGCTATGCTATTGAAGCATGCTATAACTTGAAACAACTAAAGCTATTTTGTTGCGATTTGCTTGCTGAATTGCCTTCCAGGACCTATATTTACGAAACCCCGATTGCACACTAACAAATTATAGGTCTATACTACGTAGAGATTGCATTAGGGGTACAGTAGGTGTGGATTATTATTAAACCAATAAGTTGAGTCAGATGGCTGGGGTCCAGCGCGAAACTAGGCGGGTTTGCCAGCCCCCGGTTCCTCACCTACAACCAAATTGTACCCAAATTTAGTAGGCAAAGCGTTACTGTTGTATGGTCGCTCGGACTGCTCCGAGTAGTATCATGGGTACTGTGCTCGTAAAATTTCACTAGACGAATGTGTTGACTTTAGTGCTATAGGTAAAACATTGCGTAACAATTCGATTCCGTGTCAAATTTGAAATATCTACCTTTGGGCTGCTTCCTTTTCAGTGACATATTCTCGTAAGGTTAGCTGCAACTTCGTAGAATACAACCACTTTGATGGGTACGTATTTGGCAGACAGCGCTTGTTAAACTATGCCAACCCGTAATATTTGCCCACTTCGATTCGAAAACATGCTGCAGCGTTAGCAAAATAACGTCTAAAGTGAAGGACATTGGAACTACATATAGATACACCTTGTTTCGTGTAAGGGATGGCCTATCTTCCGAGTCAATGCTCAACCAGCAGCCCCTGATTTAAAACTCCAATACTAATTTTTTCGTACTTATCATGTATACAAATGCGCAGTTACTTAATAAGGGTTCCTGGCTCAATGACGTCCCTTAGGACTAAGCAATGTTGCCGCACATTACTTAGTCATAAGAACCGTAATAACTCTTATTAATAATCCGTGGCTCTTATTCGAAAAATTTCGACACGAATCGAGCTTACGGCTGAGATTATGTAAATCTACAATAGTACAGGAATAGGTGATGAGAATATCGTCATTTATCTATGCGTAATATTTTATCTTCCCATTAAACTAGTCGATCTTCTATATATATATATATATATATATATATATATATATATATATATATATCTATATAGATCGATTGAAACAATATGTAAAGTTAATAATGTTTAAAACACCAAAAAGTTTTAAGCATGATTAGTGGAAAATATGGGAATGAAATGGTACAGCCTGATATATCTTTGTTTTTTGAATAGGCCGGCTTTATAATAGCAGAAAGCCTAGCGAAACAAGTAATAGACGTTATGTATACTAAATGGTTCTCACTGTCGGTTTGCCGTCAACGCCTGCGTATTAATCTGTCTAATTGCCTCTGATGGTAGCTTTTGCGTTGGACAATTCGTGAATCCAATAGGTCGTCGTATTATTTCGTTTCTCTAATAGCGTAGAACTAGTATGTTTGTCTAGTTGACTTAAGGACATTCAGTGAAATGGGGCCCAGGTCCGGCATACACGATTCATTTCGGGCTAGGAATGGCCAGCCATCTGAAGCTATTTCCTCAAAATAGGATGGTTAAAATATATCACATATAATTAATTGAAAAGGAAGGCAAATTCTCTCAAAAAATCGCGTGCCGTTTTCCTTAACCTAGCCTATACCCCCATTAGCTGCATATTTGGGTCTAGGTAGAATATATTTTTGACCATTAAGTTGACCTCTTTACAAATGGCAATATGTTTCTGGTTTCTGTAGGATTTGCTAGACACAGGAAAATTTCGAGGAATATATAACGAGATGGTCTCTCTATATGATATAGCTAAGCATATGGATCGAAGCACTAAATTGGCAAGACGGCAATTATCACTAACTTATTGCCAATAGCTGTTAGCAGACTTCTTTTTTTTTTTTTGTTCTTTGTCCATAGTGTACCTACCTTACATAATTGCCATTCATCACTACAATGGATTTTCATTTCCACTCAAATGGTAATCCCCTTAACTCTTAATGGCTGCGTAATTAGGATTGCCTTGACTAAAAATGACGAGTGTTTTACAACTTTGAGAGAGTTGACAATCTGTCATTAGTAGTACAGGTGAGCCTTTACAAGAGCAGTATCCGCCTAAATGGGCACCTTCGTACGGTTCTGGTCTGATAACAACGTAATTTTGCTCAAAGTTCTCTCATTAAATTAGGGACTACTTTCAGGCCGGCCAGGACCAGTTCGTATTACTGACGTTGCATTCGTCAAATGATAGCGATGAAGAGAGCTGGATCTAATTAGCGGGCAATAATTAAAAATTCAATGAAGTGTCCATTGCGTCTGCCGCGCGTTTTCTAGTCGTAGATGAGGAGCAGATGCGTCCACTTTTTCTAATGGCTCAGACTGCTCGGCCTGCTTGTCAGTTGGCTATCTCATTTATGGTTTTATTCCGTGCATCTAGTTCGATGCCCTTCAACCAAATACGACTTCGCGTTGTCTGATGCTTCATTTGTGTATACATAAAGTGTGGACACTGCCTGACGCTCCTGTAATCACTCCATAGTTCTGCATGTAATATAAGGTTGAATACCTCCTGCGATAAACTGTGAACATATTGTTAGCTCGACTAAACGTGTACGTTTTTGTAATTAAAAAAAGTGTATTTCTATTAATATTGACCATCCACTAACTAATTTTAAGAATAAATCTACTCATGAGCCATTTAACGTTCCTCCAGAACTTCCTTGCTCCATGAATAATGGACACCCATCCGATGTTTCAATAGAGTTATCAAAATTTATTGTAATCAACGCGTAGTATTAAAGATGGATATGAGGCAATCATGCAAAGTAGGAAAAATGATAAATCACTTCCAAGCAAAGTGTTGAATTTTTAGATATTAAAACAATAATATTTTATCAGCATTCTTCCATTTTTTTCATATTTTTGCTTACCGCTGCCTGTTTACCCGCGCTCATTATTCCAAATCTACGCGCCACCCCCACCGATCGCGCTCCCAGCGCGGATCATCATCATCCGTCCCTTAGTTCTACAGTCGATCACCTTAAGCCACTTCACACGCCGTTCAACCAGCCCACATCACCCGGCAGGCCCTCTTAGCGCTATCGAGTCCGACATCACCCAGCCTAAACAAACCGTTCACCTTTTAGCGGTGAAAGTTGGCAGGTTTCTGATGCAGGCCTGCTGATATTCCTGTGCCCCGGCTTCTTAGGCTATCGCAACTGCTGCTACGGCTCTGTCCCAGCGGTCCGTCTCCGGTCGTAGGGAGGTAGTCTGCTATAGGTTGTGTCCGTCTGCAAATCAGCCAGCCATTGAACCAGCGCCGTTTGCCGTGGGCGCAGCAAAACCACTACGACGAGAGGTACTAACTACCAGGGGACGGCGCTGAAGTACACACAGTTGACAGTGGGTTTCGTAGTGAGCATCAACACTATTGTTACTTGTTGTTTAGGGGAAGACCAGTTGCCTGATCGCCGACGGAGTAAATCGCTCGTGTCTGGAGTGAGCGATTGGGCTGCAGTGTTTCCGATAGAACTGGTGACCAAACAGACAAGCACCGTCACTCCGGAGCAGTCATATTCTGGATAAAAATTAGTGAAGCGGCCGACGAGAAGACCCCTGGGTGTTCTGTCGCTATTCTAGAACAAGTCTGTATTGTATTCGTGTGGCCGTATAGTGATCTTGGTCGCTGTGCCTCGACGTCAGGACGTCACCGAGCAGAAACTAGTGGATAGTTGGATTTTGCTGCATCGAAGGACCGTCATGTGTATGTGACGGTTTCGCTTTTGACTTGTCGTCGTCTTCGTTTGTCGCTTGTCTCTGATGAGAGAACAACATTAAAGGGAACGTTGCCTCTAGCCCAGCTTAACCCCCCTAATCTGAAGGAACCGGCGAAATGAATTGCCCTTAAGCAGGTGAACAGCAATAGCGAATTGTCGTGACGGTTTGTTTGCGGAAATTTTCTAAAGTTAGTGGCGTGATTCGAGTGGCGACAGTAACAAAGTGGCGACTTTGAAATGATCGAGAAGTTCGGCCACCGCCGAAAGCTGCTTTTAGAATGGAGATAAAGCGGGTGGACGAGGGCGGAAGTGATATCTATTAGTGTCAGAGTAGCAAACGTTGGCGGCAGGACCCCAGTACTCGGTAGGGGTGACGTGTTCACCGACCTTTCGGGTACCTTTTGTAGAACCATTAGCGAACAGGAATAATGATTTAGTGCAGTTCCCGTCCGTACCGTCTCACCTGATTTACACAAGAAGCTAATTGGATCGAGTCAAGAAGTGAGATGACTGCCAAGCGACTCAGTTTGGGACAGTCGCTAATATGTCATATGTTTTTGGTCGTCGCTAACCGTAACCCGGCGCGGTAGAACTAATACGACATCGACTACTATTATGGCATACTGACCAAAGCCGTAAGTGGAGTGCGGCCGCAATCCTGTAGTGGTTTCTACTGTATACGTGTGTATTTGCAATCGTAAATGCAAGTGTTCAACACAATAAATAGGAATCATACGATACGTTATTCAAGTTGAGCAGATTTGTTCAGATTTGTCTAAAAAACAATCTTGTTGTTAGCAGAACAATAAGGCCATCAGTCTATCGGTAAATGCTCGATTATTCCTTCATATTCTTTACGTTACAGTTTACTGTACGCGGAACAAACGTGGCAATTGTTCGATCCACACCGTGCTTAAAGTCGCACCTACCGCTACCATTGCGGAGGTTTTTCAATGCCATGGACGACCATCGCTATTATAGAAAGCTCGTTTTAAATCTGGTCTTCTGTGTAGTCGGCCCATAGTCTATGAGGAGCAGTTAAATCTGGTGATGTTTTAAGGTTACAGTACTTTAATAATAATAACGAAACAAAACCGTTGAGCTCCGCGCATGTCGGCTAATACGAAAGTACTGCAATAGATCTTCTTGTAAAGCTGCCGTTGAGAACGTTGCTAACAGTTTGATCATCCACTTTCTCGGACGTATTGTTGTGCGCTATGTGTGTTCGAGCCACTATCTTGCTGTGGCTTCCGAAGTGAACCTGATAAAATCGCTACGGTGGCTCGATTGTCAGTGAAATTGCTCGCAAGCTAAGTTGATCGATTCACCAGTTGTCTGTCAGCCCGCTGATGCTGGCCACGGACACTCAGGTGTCCACCGCGTGTTCAGATCTTGGCCCTGGGCTGTGGTGATCGGAAGAGTGGATGCGCTGCTGCTTTTGTTGCTAACAACCACCAGGAGCTTCATGTAGTTTTAGCAGAAACAGTAGGCAAGTTTATTCCGATATATAACACTCAACTAGAGAGACGGTCCCGAAAACGGGAATCGTTCGAGACAATAACCCCATATGGACAACTATGCTGCATTCCGCACATTAATGTTCTTTGGTCCAACAAGAGACATCTGTTTTGGTATACCATACAGGTTAAGGAAGTGGCTAGCAGCTGGAGAATCCATGGTATACAAACTCCCATGACGCCATCGTAGCTGTTCGATAGATAGTTTATCAGATCAAACAATAGCCACGTTTGTTCCGCGTACAGTAAACTGTAACGTAAAGAATATGGAGGAATAATCGAGAATTTAGCGATTGACTGGTGGGCTCGTTGTTCTGCTAACAACAGGATTGTTTTCTAGACAAATCTGAACAAATCTGCTCAACTTGCACTTCTTGAACACTCACATTTACGCTGGTCAGACGATGGCAAATACACACATATGCAGTAGAAGCCACTGCAGGATTACGGCCGCAGTCCACTCACGATTTTGGTCAGTATGCCATCATAGCAGTCGATGTCGTACTAGTTCTACCGTGCCGGGTTACGGCGACCAAAAACACATGACATATTAGCGACCGTCCGAAACCGAGCAGGTTGGTCGTCATGTCACTTCTTAACTCGATCCAATTAGCTTCTTGTGTAAATCAGCTGGGAGGGCTGAGAAACTGTGCTAGGAACTTCAAGCTAAGAGCTGGACGATCCCTTGCTGTTGATCGTGGTAGCAAGCACTTAGTTTAAATTATAACCATGCACTATTTCTGCAATCCGTTTGTTCAATAACAACAGTAGAATAATAAAGCCAGAAGGGTCGAATATTCCTTCGTGCTTTAGGTGTTACAGTTTACTGTACGTCGAAGAAGCGTGGCAACTATTCCGTCTCATAAACTAGGGAGATCTTTTTCCTATTTGTACACCATGGATTTTTCAATTGCTAGCCACATTCCTAATCTGTGTGGTAGATGAAAACAGAGAGAAAATTAGTGTACACAAGCAATTATAAACGCATCGCGGAGAGCAACATATGTGTCCATATGGCGTTCTTGTCCGAAATGATTCCCATTTGCAGAGCCATCTCGGAATAAATTTGCTAGCTGTTCCTGCTGAAACTGCGGGAACCTCCCGGTGGTTGTTAGCAGCAGCGCATCGACACTTCATACGTCCCATCATCATCATAGCTCAGGGCTAAAATCTAACTACGCGGTGGGCATCGGAGTGTCGATGGCCAGCGTTAGTAAACGGAGCAGGACAGATAGACAGTTGGTAGATCGATCGACTTAGCTAACGACTAACTTTACTGTCGACCGCCGACAATCCAGCGACGGTAGCGATTTTATCAGGATCATTTGAGCCACTTCCTCGTTTCGGCTACCGTAGCTAGAGAGTGGTTCAAATAGCGCATGGGACAATACGTCCAAGAAAGTCGATGGTCAGCGACGTTCTCAACGGCACGTTTGCGAAAAGGTCTATTGTAGCAGTTTCGAATTGGTCGATGTGCACAGAACTCGACGTTTATAGCCATTGACATACTGTTGTCTCGTTTCAGTCGTAGTAGCAATGATGATGGAAAAATTTGATTCGGCGTATACACACACAGTATAACAGTAAAAGCTGTAGAAGCTGCTCAAAGCGAGTGACATGTTGTCAGCGATCTCAGGACTCCCAACAGCAGTGTCTTGTAAGTGTCGTCACGGTGGCTTATTTTAGCGTGCTATACGAACATATATTTCTTTAGCAAAAACAATCAAAGTAGTAGCAGTCATCACGAGAACTGCCAACGTGCAGATTAAGGCGTTTCGAATCTGCCCAGGTGAAGAAATGACTAGCTAAAGTGTCCACGATTATTATTGGGATACTATTATTCTAGCAGAGCAAAAACAGTAGACGCTGGAAAAGCAAGATGGATCTTCAGCAGACAATTTTGTCAGGCGTGAATCGTATCACACAATCGATGCAGAGTCCCATGCGGCTCCGCGACCTAATTCGACAGATTCGAGCAGCCCGGACTGCGGCAGATGAACGGGCCGTAGTACAGAAGGAGTGCGCGTACATCCGAAGCACATTTCGAGAGGATGACAGCTTGTGGCGGTCAGTACAACTATCAGCCTGAATAATAGGATATATAAGTGTAGATAACTTGTTGGCATGTTAGCGAAATCGAATTTTCATTAGCTAACCACTAGCAGCCAACTTTATGTACTAGTTTTAAGTTAGTCTAAGCTATAAATAACATGAAATTTCCTAAATGCTGTTACACAACTAGTTGTTAGTAGAAATGCATGCATTACCGTAGTATTATCAAGTTGCGACTAACTTTTCCCTATCTCATTAATAAACGTTCCGTTTGGAAGGACGATGTCACATTCGTACCGTCAGGGAAATTCTATCGGTTCTCGACCGCGAATATATTGGACGCTAACTCAAGGCCCTTTTACACAATTTAGGTACATTAGCTGATGATAAGTTCATAAGAGCTATGGGAGATTAGAAACGTGGCTCTATTCCTGTGTGTCGCTGCCTATGTATACCCGGTTGAGTAATGTGCGACCAGTAACATGTTCCTAAATGATTGCATTGAAATCCATTTCGTAGTTGAAGCTGCACTGGCCCTTACCATCCTAAATATTCCGTAACGGCACGGAAGATCATTGCTATTACAGAAAGCTACCTTTAATTCTAATCTTGTGTCGCCCCGTAGAGGCAATTTTTTGATGTATTTCAACAATGATAATCAGAGGATAATGCTGTTATTTGTGACCGTTTTCACTATTGACAATTTGTCCGTGCCGAGAACAAGTTCTTATTGACTTATTCAGGCTCCATAAGAACCCATTCAACGTGTTCTTTTCATGCTTGCTCCATCTACGGAGGTGATAATTGCCATGCTGTTGGTATCAAGTTCAGTATTATAAAAACGTTTTGTCTAACCACGTTTAAAGCGTCGTGTGTCGTGGCGGTACACTCGACTCTTGGGTTCGACGTAATGTCGATTAGTCATCATTACTACCTGCAGCTGAACTTCCAATGGTGTTATAGGTATCTGTTGACCGGGGTACCGGAGATTTTGAACGGGCACAAATGACTAGCGGGTCGTTCTGTAAAGGTTCATTTCTGCTCATTAAACAGTTTTACGTAGTCGCTCATATAAGACGGAGAAAAAACTGAAGCTTAAGTAGCCATACAGACCGTTCTCGTCGAAATATAAAAGCGTTCTTTGGTGCCTGAAACTCAAAACGATGAGTAACTTTCTATAAAATCGAGATCGTGTTATTGGCACTCAATACTGTAGCTGTCGGCTTTGAAGTAACTGTTTGGAAAGAACCATACGGGGACGCTTTTAGTGTCACTATGTGTCGTTTCTCGGAATCGAAGATTTCTAGAAAATTATTAGACAATTTAGTACTTGCATGTATTATTATTTATACCAGTATGATATGTAATTCGAAGAGACAGCACTATCTTCTCTCTTAAACAACTGGAACTAATACGTATGCTTTTATTTGAACTGTAGTTATGGTAACTTAATTGGTATTAGAAGCATATCCACCATATGCACAGGTTGTCGAACTAGTATACACCTTTAGAGACTTTAATGCAAACTCATCTCAAGCAGCTTAGAAACCGTTTTAGTCTGCTCACAGTAAACGTAGTTCGGCCTTTCTACCCATTAACAGGTAAAGGAAATGTGACTCAATATACGCTGTTTAAACGCGCGTGGTTCCATCACGGTTTTCGATAAGCAAAAATCTCTGCTTAAAGTTTATGCCTTCAAAGTCTTTAGTCTCTCCTCGTAAGCGCTTCCTTCTTTTTAACTACAATCATCAATATTGCATGCTTAGTATGTCGTAATGGTTTGCGCACGGGCAGCCTGTTATAAGAAATAGGCCTAGAATAGAAAGATCGAGCTGCGGTGGTCACTTTTCTGAACTACAGTTTCAAACTACAGTACGGTAGAGTAAATGGGAAAGACGAAAAACCACGTGGTCGTCCTTTTGTTTGGTCGAAGTTTTCAGTTATATATGAACAATGTTATATAATAACGGGACTTTATAAATGTAATAATTCTAATGATATGTATAACTTGATTGATTTCAGAGCCACTTTTGAAATAAATCCGATCCCCGGCTTCTTTTCAAAATGGCTGGCTCAAAACAGTCCTTATATATGTATGTATATATATATATATATATAGATAAGGACTTCCTCTTCTGCTCTATATTTAAAATTGCATCTAAATAAAAACAGACATTGTAGTGAAATCTTCCGTATATACTATAAGTATTATTTCTGACAGTAATCTCTATTCAATGTAACCACTATTCGTCGCGATTATAGTTGAGTTCTGAACTAGCCACTGGGTTGCTTTAAATATTCGGTCTGTAATTCTGTGAACGCTTCTGCTCACAATATGCAGATCTTCTGAACTGTGGGCCAGAAAGTGGTAATTTTTGTAGTTCATTTTTGCATCGAGGATAAAATTCTCGTCGTGTAAAAAAATGAAGATAGTCTCCTACATTACTTTTGAGCTTCGGTCTATTTTCTTAGCTTTATTGTCTTCAGAAAGCATCTATCTGACTTTTATGATATGTGAAATATACCTGAAATCTTCGTGAACAATCCGTGATAGCGTACGCTTACTGACGGAAAATTTCTTTACTCACATCTTCATCGAAATAGGAGAATCATTAGAAATGCATTTTTGAACAGCAGCGATTTCCTATTGGACCGTGCTTGCGTCTGCTTCCACTTTTTTTTGTAAGCGCATTATTTTTTGCGAGGCGGCACATCGTCAATTTCGAGTGATTCACCAAGTTTATAATCTTGGGGGACGCTTCGTCCAGCGCTTAGAAATTAAATAATAACCAATCCTTACTCAAGCTTCGAAAATGACGCACTGTTGTTCGCCCTGACCAGCTTGTCGTCTTTGAAGCAACCGGCTTTCGTTTTACGCCAGGGGTAGCGGGTAAATGCATGCCCACTACGACAAAAACAGTTCGTTAAACTTTGTCCCAGTTTCGGTACCCTGCTCTGTATAACTAGTATTTAGTGTCACGTTTCCATCCTGACATATTTCATATTTACTGGCTGAATTGAAAATCAATATAATGAAAAGGAATTGAATGCGCTCCCTATAAGCTATTCTGTAAAATCTATTAATATGTTATTCTCTTTGTGTTTTAGGTGTCGTAACGTCGCTAAGCTCTTATACATTCATATGCTGGGCTATCCAGCCCATTTTGGACAGCTCGAATGTCTGAAACTAATTGCATCACAACGATTCACCGACAAACGCATCGGGTAACTATGACGTTAAACGTTTCATCTCTTACGTTAATGAAAATACGTACGGATACCCCATCCTGTGACATAAGTTTGACTGAAACAAACGCACGTGGTATTGTCAGCAGTTAAACGCAAAAGTGTTGGCTTATCATATGAAACCTAATTACAAGGATTGCTACTTATTTTTGCATTCTAATCTTTAAGCAATCGTTGCGCCTATTGTAAATTTGGATGGAACAGACTCTGATAACTTAGTAGGTATTATCATCAATATGAATTTGCTACAAACCGGCAGCAAACATGGATCCTACAAGGTAAAGGAAACCATAAAATTTAACTATTGTTATAAATGGATTACCTGTAATAAATAAAGCACGTTACACGAGAGCAGGTTCTAAACTACTCTCGTATAATATTGTTGCTTCGGATCAATCCTGCTCGGTAGCTAGTTTCGTCCTTTAGTTAGGTCTTGATATTTACTCCCGAATACGACTTTAGGGCAGATCGATACTTGCCATATTGATCTAGTGTGGTACAACGTAAGTCCCCGCATTATTATTATTATTAGTAATTAAAAGTTAACAGAACTTATTCTTTTTTAACTTTCCTGTCGTTTACGTGTTATATGGTAGTTTGCTTCACAGATCACATAAGCCCTGATACTGTCATCTATAGAGCCTTATTCGCGACATTGTGTCGTTCGTTTCTGCGCAAATAATTACTTCGATCCTTAAAGTGAGGAACCGCCATGATATTATATACGTCAAAATTCTTGTTGAAACACTTGCATCATCTATAATATAATTGGATTAATTGCATTCCGTAAACGGTATCAGAACGGGCAATGTTTTCTGCGTTGGATGTTCAGTATTTTTACGCAGACAGTTCACAGGCTAACAAGCCAGCAATAACGAAAAAAATGCGCGCCTGAATTTAGTAGTTTTTTTGCTATCCACAACTTTTTCATTGAGCGACTTTTCTTTTTTTTTTTGTGAGCATTGTTCGTCCGAAATGAAAATTGTTAGCAAATAAAAATAAGCCTGCTTGTAACGGACAATGTGTTCGTATTACGGCCATCGTATTTTGTGGAACGGATTATTTAGAGGAGAACTGATGCTTGTGAGCAACCATCATAGCTAGGGCAAACCGTTCGTTTCACATTTCGCTAACGAAAGTGCGATTGTAAGCTATGTTTCTATGGCATACGTCGAATGGCTGTCAGGTGGTGTCTTTCTGGTCCATTTCGTAGTTTCTACGTCAAATTTATCGTCATCATCCCTCTATTGTCTCGTTCACGCCATGTATACTCTATTCCTTTGTAAGGTAGCTATATTGTGTGTCTCCCATATTCTAACTCATGGCATAGATTCTTAGTAAGCGGCTGTGTTAGCAGTCTTAGCTAAGCAGCAAACATCCTCAATATGGACGGAACCATACAGGCCATACTTATACTGAATTTCCGTCTACTTCACTCTGTTGAAACGCCACGTGCAACAATGCGGTCCTCAAAAGCAGCAACCTACAATATAGTCTCGCGTGTCCTTTAATTGTTATTTAATTAATTGTTGTTCGGCCAACTTAACTATTCATTCGGTCAACAATGCAAACGCTTCGAAATCGACGTCCCGAGCCTCTAAGAGATGGCATCAGAAGGTTTAGTCGGACCCTCTGATGAAAACGAATTGAAAATTAGCCGCTTTTCCTCGCGTCGTTCCACATAATATGCTCACAGATCTGATATTATTGCTTTCGTGTGCAGAAATGGATACATTCATTGGGCGAATGTTTTAAGAAAGCGATCTGGGTATATATATATACCATGTATATAATAATAATGAACAGAAACTACCTCCGTAACGTGATGTCACACGTAGAACTTATGATCATACGCTTTAGATGTTTCAGCGATGGCCGGTTCATAGGTATGTAATTTTGATATAGATAATACATTTAAAATAAATATAAAAAAAATAAATAAATTTAAGTCTCTACCGAACAATATACGACGCTGTACAACTATTAACTTGGATAATTTGCTAATGATTATTTTACCAGTGTTGGAAATATGAAGAATTGTGTCAGCATATATATATATTGTGGCATTTGGATAAACTGCAAACGTGTACACCGAGTCCCTATTAAATACTGGAACTGTTTCCTCTCCTATGTGTATATTAGATACTTAGGTGCGATGCTTTTACTTGACGAACGACAAGACGTCCACTTGCTCGTGACAAATTCGCTCAAGAACGACCTTAACTCGCAGACACAGTTCATCGTTGGTTTAGCGTTGTGCACACTGGCGGCTATATGTAGTCCCGAAATGTCTAGAGATCTGGCAGGTGAAGTAGAGCGTCTTCTCAAGACCTCTTCAAACCCCTACATCAAAAAAAAAGCCGCCCTGGCAGCTTTTCGCATTATAAGGTAAGGCTGCGAATAGCTGATTCTCAGTATTATACTGAATAATTTGAGAGCTTCTACATATAATTTGTACAACCCTCGCACCGTCCTATTTTTAGTACTACTACTGTTATTATTTTACGTACTCACAACGTGTTTAAGATGAAGTTATGTTTCCACCGGACTAATTGACATTTGTGCAAAAATCGGGCAATTTCACCCATATTTTGTTTCTGATTTTGAACTTCATACGCTTCTGTGCCTGTTATGATCTTTTTTAGACGAGTGCCAGAATTAATGGAAATGTTTATACCAGCCACACGTTCTCTACTGTCAGAGAAAAATCACGGTGTGCTAATCACTGCAGTTGTGCTGGTTCACGAAATGTGTGAACGATCACCAGACACGTTAGGTTACTTCCGCAAATCTGTGCCGCAACTGGTTCGCGTGCTCAAAAATCTCATTTTGTCTGGGTACTCGCCAGAACACGACGTCTGTGGCGTATCTGACCCTTTTCTACAGATCAAAATTCTTCGGTTACTCCGCCTGCTTGGTAGGAATGATAGCGAATGTTCGGAAGCCATGAACGACATACTTGCACAGGTAGGAGCCCTTGCAATGTTTTGTTCGATCTCGTAAGTTTCCTATCAGAAATAAGTGGTCTGAGACGTACGCTCTTTGAGGAGACTGCCGCAAGCTACATTTCTGAAAGATTTGTGTAAAGTATAAATGTGGGTCAAACATACTGAAGTAGGTTAGCCATTGTAACTCTGTTCTTCATTTGTGATCCACTACGTCGATTGACATTTTGCATTACTTACTATCTAATAACGAAATTCAATGAAGTTACGGTTTAGAGAAAAGATGACAATAAAAAAAACAAATACAACCAAAACTCATATTATTCACAGGTGGCAACAAATACGGAGACGGCAAAAAATGTTGGCAATGCAATCCTCTACGAATCGGTGTTAACTATTATGGATATCCGCTCAGAGTCGGGACTTCGTGTATTGGGTGTTAACATCCTCGGACGGTTTTTATTGAACACTGACAAAAATATTCGTTACGTTGCATTAACTACACTCTACCGAACAGTAAAGGCTGACTATCAGGCGGTACAAAGACATAGGTACGTCCACTGGTTGTCAAAATAATCTCATTTCTTTCTTTTTAAATTTACTCATTTCGCTCAGTTCTACATTTCGGTAACAATAATAACTATAAACTTGTAGGAGTTTGTGTGCTGACGATCGCGAAAACGGCTTTAACAATTTTTTTGATAAGTTATGTGTAGGCTTAATCTGACAAGTCAGTACTATGCTAAAAACGACACGCTTCTCAAAAGTGCTTTTCAAACTGGAGAGTACCAAAAGCTTTTATATAAGCTCCAATGTAGCCTGGGGAGATAACCATTGAACCACATTTCAACAGCAGTTAAAAATCTAAAGTATCGAAAGGTTGCTTTATTCCCCGAGCTTCAACAACCAGGTGTGAAATTGGGTTTTTTGTTTCATCGCGAAGCCAAATGTGGGCTTTCAACTAGAAAACCGTTGAATTTCTTTTTAAAACGCTTACTTGGTTTAATTATCAAGCGGCCTAATGTTTACATGGAGTTTTCGAAATCGTTGTCAGCTTTACAGCGAGGTAGCGGAATTACCGCAGGGGTACTGGCTCAATGGTCGGTTTAATTGCAGTGGCTTAAGTGTGATATTTGAAATATCTAAATCAGCGTAACTGAGTAAACTATTAAAATGAATGAAGTAATGTGACCGAATTTTTAAAACAGGAAAATAGGCAGCGAAGTGACGAACAATGCACTGAGCCTACTGGAGAGGGGCCGCGGGAGAAATGTAACAAGAAAACTACCATGAGACAAAAAGGCCGAGCGGCGACAGATACTTGGTACTGGTATTGTTTTCGATAGTAAGACTAACAGCAATAATAATAAGCTTCTACAGTTGTGGTGTAAGGCCATAACATAGATTTCTGCTCTTTTCTTCTATTTTCAGAAATACAATCGTCGACTGCTTAAAAGACCCCGACGTGTCTATTCGAAGAAGAGCCCTGGAGTTGTGTTTTGCACTAATCAATTCGCAAAATATAGAGTTCATGACTCGGTAAACGCATTACAAATTTTACCTTTTTGTGTACAGAATCGCTAAGCTTTTAATACAATAATTTACGTATTTTTACGAATTTGGAGAATCCGCCAGTTGTTATTTTTGGTGATTTCATCGGTCGAAGACTGAATCCGTACAAATCATGAAAAATCGATTTCTGTGAATATTTCAGTGAATTGTTGATCTTCCTCGAGAGCGCGGAACCCGAGTTCGCACAGAGTTGTTCGAGTAACTTATTCCTAGCCACGGAAACGTACGCCCCGTCAAAAAAGTGGCACGTCGAAACCATGATCAATGCGCTTACGCTAGCAGGTGAGAAGCGTTTTTGTTTAGATGATAAACACAACGCTTTAGCATGTTCCAATTCGAGCGTGTAAAACGGTAGGAGATAGCTGCAACCGGAATCACACATACTCAATGCGAGCCTAGTAGAAACTGAAACTTATAAGAAAGAAAATTAACTTTATCAGCAAGAAAATGCGGTGATAACACTGCTTAAAAGGTGGCCTTTTTAATGGTCAAATCAATACCTACTTGCAAAATTTAGTATCAGTGAGGTACGACAAGCATGCTTATTTACGCTTACAATATAAACGATAGAATACACACGTCTCACTTATGACTCACTTCTCGACTAAATTTTGCGTTTCCTTTTATATAGGCAACTACGTTAACGATGATGTCGTCGGTTCATTAATTCAACTTCTAAGTGCGTGTGAAGATAACAACCTATACACGTTTGCTGTTCGGCGTCTCTGGAAAGAAATGTCTGGAATTGAACCTGCTAGTGAGGTATCAGCGTACCAACCGTTGTGTCAAGTGGGTACCATGTTTAAATACTTTCATCTTTTCCAAGATTTCTTCTCGTTCATTGAGTGTTGTTTATATACCTCTACTAGAAATTAGCTTATATATTCAAGCGGTTTTCGTAAAATACCTCCATGCCGTAAAGTGTATAATTGAACTCTACTTTGAATTTACATTATTACTAAGAAATGAATAGCTTCGTCACTGTGTTAACGTTCTCAAATGAAAAGTCAGCTGGTCTGCCTCGATGTTTCTGCTATTCTAATATCACGAATATATCTATTTTAAATGGCCCGTTCTAAAAAAGGTCAAAATGTGTACCACACGATGTGATACAGCTTGCGCTAGCGATCCCGCATTGCGGAACCATTCACAGCCTTGCCCAGTCTAAGATGTTTGTTGTTTGTTAGCTACATCGCAAATCATTTTTTTTCCAAACTCCCATTATCATGTTTAACTCGTGTTGAATCTTTTTAAATGCGTCAAGGTTGCATGTTGGGCTATTGGTGAGTTTGGTGATCTTCTGCTAGCCACTGGCGATAACGATGACAATGGAGATGTGGCCAAAGAAGGTGAGGCCGGAGTAATCGCCTTTTTCGAACAGTGGCTTTTGTTCAACATCCAGCTGAGCGTGGCAACGCGAGCTTATGCGCTGCTTGCGCTCCAAAAACTCAGTGTGCGATTTTCGTCGGAGAGTTCCAATCGGTATGTCGGCAATGTTTCATATCTCTATCAAATCTACAAACTCTATCAGTAAGTTTAAAAGTTCGCTGGTTGAAATGTATACCAATCGAGCTGGTGCAGCATGGACTTACTGGATAAAATCACCTCTAATTGAAAGTAGTTGTCAAAAGAACACAGATAACATCCTTTGGTACAGCGGTCATGCAGACAACCAGCACTTTAGCAGGCCGTTGCTGATGTTGCCACAAAGAAAAATCCTTGCCAGTGAATTGGTGACATCCGACTAATTAAATTTAGAAAGATATACTCGGCAGGTAACAAGATGTTCGCGTCCTGTACTACACACTACGCATTGAAAAATCCTTCTACTTACCGATAGCTTTATCGACAACTAACAACGCATTGGCGTTCAACATTTACAGTATCAAGTGCGCTGTGGACTCGTTATCGTCCAGCGTTCATGTTGAATTGCAGCAGCGGGCGTCAGAGTTCGCGGCGTTATTTACGCGGCACGACAATCTGCGGCCCGCTTTGTTAGAACGGATGCCCCCGATAACGGTAGGATAATTCATAGAAGTAGGTTTAGTGGGATGGAATGTAAGGCCATCTTTGGGATGGTTCCAAGTTCCGTCCTCGTTTTTTCTACCCTTTTAACGATATCTTGTAGTAAAAAGGGCTTAGTAAGCAACGGTTTTTCTATATCACGGATGTAAAGCGGAAAGACTTGAAACATTGCGTATAAACAACGTAATGATAATTCTTAAATACAAACTACATCAGATCCGTTCTAGCAGTATGACTATTTTCTTAATCGACATACCTTTTTTTCAGATGAAACCTTCAATTAAGTCTCATCAGCACCAGACCGTCTCAGATGAAGTTTCAACAACGATTAGTAATATTAATTCGGTATGTTGCATGTCGGATATGGTCATGCATACTATTATAATATGCATTGAGTAGAACTAGTTCACCTTTGTATCAGCCTTACAAATTCGAAACGCTTCTGTACACAAAATAGCACAACAATTCGACACTGTAAAATAAATTTCCTATTTGTGACACGTTAACCTTTTTCTGCTCTTAGGTCGACATATCGCCTACTGTGACAACCAATGTCACAAACAATAACGGCCATACCGGAGTCGATAATCTGCTCGATTTCTTGGCCGTTCCTGATGAAGTCATTGGTGTCCCGCCCACGTCACAAGTGTTGAATGCGTCTCCTGGAGCTATTGTCGATAACATAAACCTCTCATCGGCTAGTACAAATAATAATACTGCGCTTTTTGACCTCCTCGGTGACCTGGGAGGTGAGTCAAATGGAAAATTCCATTAAATGAGTAGGAATAAAATCGTTTGCAGTTTCACGATCGTAATGCTGTGGAAGGTTAGGATCATGTTGTGACGTACGTACAATATTTTGGGGACCTAAAAGCCCGAAGAAACTTCGAGTTCATAACAGCTTAACAAACATATAAATTTTGAATTGTATGACAAATTTGAATGGGTTTGTGTTGAAATCTCATCGTACAGCTGGTTATTACGAGCGAATCTGGCAAATTTTGAAATTAAATAACTTTTTAACTACGTGCCCAGTGCAGATGAAATTTAGAAACTTTTGCATGAAAACTGTTAAGGTCTACTTCAAAAGAAATGAGTTTAGGAAGAAAAAAAATCAGGTTTTGAAGGTCAATGCTCCATAGTAAACTTTTGGCCGAAGATCTTAGCGCTGAGGAAATTCATCAAAGATGGGTGAAAACGTTAGGCAAGGAGCTTTTGAGCGGAAGCACGGTACTTGAGTCGTGTGAACGTTTTGAGAACGGGATTACTGGTGTGCTGAAGACCGGTAAGAAAATTACCAGATGTCGGGATCCGAATGAGAAGAACGTATTGCTGTACTCGAGGGAACTTTTCACGAAAGTAGAGCTCGAAGTGTAATCTGTTGGCCAAAACTGACGCTTTACATGTGACGTGTTGCAAAATTATAACTCGGATACTAGAACAGAAATTTAGTATGAGTTAACTTTGGGCTTGTTGGAAATTCATGCGAAAATCGTGTGTACTCCACGTACAATTCACGGAATTTTAATCAACAAAAAATCCGATCTTTACCACCGACCGAAAAGGGACTAATTGAGATGGTGGCGTTGTCCTCACGAGAAGTTAGGTTTGGTGACGGTATCGAGTAGATTCGTACGTAAGGTGGTGGCAGTACTTGCAATGAATATGATGGACATGGTATTTGCCACTGAGATACTAATGAAAATGAAACAACCAACACCGCCCACTATATCAACTCCCTCAAGAAATTTAAATCATTGGCATAGAAATCGAAAGCGCGTAGTACGATTACTTAATAACAATACCAGACCTCAACGCTATGTTTCAATTAAACCCTAGATTGAGAAAAGGAACATCCAACGGTGACCTCAATCCACCTGTTTTCCTGCTTTAAGTCCGTGTAATTGCAGAGATTTGTATGCTGTAAAAAGGGCAACTCGTGGGCAAGCGTATCGCATTATCGATTTACTTCAACAAACCATAGATAAATTAATTATATATGGGGACGTGAATGGTAGGTACATCTTTGTATACAGCTAAAACAAGTGAGTTAAAAATCCTCTAACAACTATTAAAAATCATCACTCTAGCCCAACTGTAATATTAATTTAGTTTCAAAGTTTGCTGGATTCGGATGTAACAGCCTAATATATGGATTATTCGACTGACTTTGTTTTGATTCTGTTTAAGGTTCCACGCCAACTGCTCCAGTCGGCGTCGTACCAGCGCCGTCTATACCAAACTCGATCGGCTTCCTGGGAAGTGACATTCTGGTCTCTTCAGCAGATAAGAAGCTCAATCAGAGGAATTCTATGCTTCAGGGAAATAATGATGCTCTCGCAAACAACCTCTCGCTCAGTCTCGACTCCATGGGACTTTCAGGTAGCACGGAGCTTACGTGCCAGCAAAATGCCTGGCAAATAATACCGGCTATCGACGTTGATGACCTGCATATAACAATGAAATATCCTCAGGTGGGTGGGGTAATAAGCTGGTAATTAACCTGGTTAGGAAAGTATGTCTGGTAAAAACGATAATTAGGGAAAGCAAACTTTTGAACTTTTAATTTAATCAGTGGCTAGATTTACCTTCTGCCTTTTTGAACATTATTGATTAAATCTCACATGCCATACAGCGAATTCATATTCCCGTGCGGTACAACAAAACATGTAGAATAGTTCATTAGACACTGCTTTTTTTCTAGGAGCTGCATGAAGGTATCTATTTGGTCGGAACAAGTGAATTTATGTACGAATTAAAGTTCTAACTTTATATTATTTATTCTTTGTCTTAATTTATGATCTAGGTCGTACCCCCTGGTCAGCCAGTGATCTTTATTGTAAACATAACAAATAGGGGATTGGAACCCGTTAGTGAGTTACTTTTCCAGGTAGGTTTGCTGCAAGCGTGGAACATTTACACTATAGTCAGCTTGCGCACATAAGAAAAATGTAAAATACTTTTGTGGGGCGTGCGGGTTAGGTTTATTGTAAGTCGCACATTCATCACAAGCTATAGATCGTACACATAGATCGATATGTAACATTTTAACGTTACATTCTACAAAGGCTGTTTTAATTGTTCAAAGTCAAGCGCACTGTAAGTTTTCTATTGTGGCTGCTGCTTTGTGATTGAACAGATGGTACGACCGTAGTTTGTTACTATCTGGAAAGGTTGGTATCATTCATCGGTTTGTAGCCAAACAGACGAGAAGATCACGAGTGACCCACTTGAGGATGGGTAGTGTATATATATATATATATATACTACGTCGGACCCACGAGGCTATCTTGCGTTGATAAATTTAGAACTGAATTTATTGATGTTGCATCCAGCTACAAGATACACTAACAGTTGCCCTGTCTAGCTAACTCCTTACCAGTTAGTAGCTGCCTGTTTTAGCGGACTTGATTTGCGTTATACCTAGTTAACTTCCTAGTGAAAATTCGTTCAAAAACAACTATGATTAAAATTTTTTTTTATAAACTTATTTTCATCTGACTTTTCAGCCCTTCCACGGGCCCTTTAAGCATCCATTTAGGAATACGGACCTGTACAGCATTTTGACTCAGCTCGTTAAGATCTATTAGTTGATAGCAAAAAATACCCTTATTACGTAGAACGCCACGGCAAAGTTTCACCATTCAAACGAATTTTTAGACCCGAAAACTAACACTAAGGCATTGAAACATTAATCACATTTCAGTTGATCTCACCAAAAGCTTTTGGTTAGTACTAAGGTAGATCTCCATGCGAGAAATTTTTATTCCAGTACCACACAAGATAAACAATAAATACATTAATTTCAGTCTTCGGCTTTTTACATGCCCAAATATCGATTATATAATAGATATAAGGAGTATTTTCATTCAGTTCGCCGAAATTGACGTCAAAGAAAAATGTTGAAATAGTATTTTATCGCATAGAATTATATTCGAAATTGATATTGCAAAAAGAAAGAGAAAATCGAAAATTTTGCTGTAAATGAATTTTTGAACCCGCCTTGTAGGACTTGGGAAAAACAAAAAACTTTTTATGAGAGCCTTTCACCATTTCTCAAAGACGACTAAGTAAATGTCAAAAAAACAACCTATTTACTTAAATCAACATTACGCTCTATGGGATGCAAAAAACGAACCCTCCGGGAAAAATATTCGTCCAATCGGCTCAATCTTACGCACCGGTATCCCGTTCCCAAATGAGTCAGTCCAATATAAACACTTTAAGGAAGTAATTTGGAGCCCACAAACGAACGAACCAACACCGAGACACGAAAAAAGTAGAAAAAGTATAATGAGTAAGAGTAGAGCTAGATAATATATATCTCGCGCCAAGTCGTCGTGAACGGCACCGCTCATCTTGTTGACTATTGGCCTCTGCTGTGAGTGTTAACATCCCTCGTCGCTATCGTCGTTATAGCAGCAGCCGACGAGAGCTCCCTCTCCCAAGTGGCGCCAGCTGGGGCAAACATACGACAGTAGTAGTGGTAGTAGTAGTAGTAGTAGTAGCAGCGGCGAGCCGACTGGGAAGGACCACTGGTGTCTGTGCGACAGACTTCGCTTGCAGCCGGTCGGACACAGTATCAGTCTGCGAGGAGACCGATGAATCCTGCTCCTGCACTCACCTCCTCTTCCTCGTCCGATCAAACAGGCCAGAGTGAGCTCCCAAACGAACTCGTGATGATGTAAACAAATCGCGTGAGCATCGGGCAACCAGACAGCAAACTTCCCTGTGCCTGTTGTAGGTAGGGTTTGCTGCCCAGCTTCTGTTTCGACTATAGTGAAGCAGCGGTGTGACGACCGGAAAAATCAGCGACATGACTAGTACGATTGTTATTAGGTTATTTGACCACTGCTACAACGGTTGTGTCTGTTACTAGTTGGTATAGACGGTTCCGTCAATTCGCGCTCTCGACTAATGCGTTTTATTGAGCCTCTAGGCGACGACATGGCGTCAGTATCACTCGATCGGCGCCCGTTCTATCGCAAGTAAGCGGCAATTGGGCTAATACAACAGAAATTCTTAGGAGAGCAACAATACAGCGGAAGACTTAAACCACGGAGGGGAAGAATTGCATCGACCGGCGATAGCAGCACTTGCGTTTTGTGAGTGACATTTGCTATCCAAAGGTTCGATTTTGCCTGGCTTGGACACGCCAGCGTTGGAAGATTAGGTCACCGTGGTGGCGCCTAGCATGCAGGACCTCAATTACAGTGCTATAATAGTCGCGAACGAGATAATCGTTATTCGATAGATGTGAGTTGGTCTAACAGCGTACGCTGGTTGACTAGGCCGTTGCAAGATTGGCATTTAGGTTCGTGTTTTCGGTTATTAGGACGTTTTTTTTGCTGCTGGCCAAAGAAGCTACGTTGAAATCTATAGGCCGCTCTATTCGAAAAAAGTGGACGACAAAATGGAGGACATTAGAGAAGCGCCCAAATGACAGTAACATCAAGTGTTCTATAAGGCTAACAATTGTCAGTTTCATCTTACTCGCAATGTTGTGACAGGGTGCGGATCGGGTGCCGGCGGGTATTTATATGGCATT